GACTGCCTGGGCAGCGGCTGGACAGGCTGGGCAGTCGCAAGCGCCGGGGGGACCAGCGTGATCTCGGCCACCCTGGGCCACCTCCCAAGGTCTCCAAAGCAAGCCATGACTCCCTGGTCCCCAATTCATCACCTCTCCCTACCAATGGGATAGGTGGGAGCCCTGAGAGCTTCCCAGGCCCCCTGGACAGTGGAAGGCTCGTGGGCCCTGAGGGCAGTTGCCTGGAGCAGAGTGAGAATGATAAGCACAGTGTCAAGATCCCAATCAATGCCGTGAGGCCGCACACCAGCTCCCCAGGTCTGGGCAAGCCCTCTGGGCCCTGCTTGCAGAGCAAGGCTACAGTGCTGCAGCAGCTAGACAGGGCGGACGAGACCTCAGGATCCCCTCACCCCAAGGGACCGCCTCACTGCTCCTTCAGTCCCAGGAACTCACGGCATGAGGGTTCCTTTGCCCGGCAGCGGAGCCCATACACACCCAAGGGCTCTGTGCCCAGCCCCTTGCCTCGGCCCCAGTCGCTTGATGTCACGCAGGTGCCATCACCGCTGCCAGTGGCCCAGCCGTCCACACCCCCCATGCGGCGGCTTGAGCTGTTGCCCAGTGTGGAGAGCCCAGTACACTGGCTAGAGCAGCCTGAGGGCCACCAGCGGCTGGCAGGGCTGGGCTGCAAGGTGGTGTTGCCACCAGCTGAGTCCCTCCTGCCCCGGGCTGGCTTCTCCCCAGACTCCTCCAGGGTGGACAGCGACGCGGCCTCTTCCGGTGGCTCGGACAGCAAAAAGAAGAAGAGGTACCGGCCTCGTGACTACACCGTGAACTTGGACGGCCAAGTGGCTGAGGCAGGTGTCAAGCCTGTCCGGTTAAAAGAGCGGAAGCTCACTTTTGACCCCATGACAAGACAGATCAAACCTCTGACCCAGAAAGAGCCAGTGCAGGCCGACAGCCCTGTGCACACAGAGCAGACCAGGACAGAGCTGGACAAACCCGAGGCCAAGGCCAGCCTCCAAAGCCCCTTTGAGCAGACGAACTGGAAGGAGCTGTCACGCAATGAGATCATTCAGTCCTACCTAAGCCGGCAGAGCAGCCTGCTTTCATCATCAGGCGCACAGACTCCAGGGGCCCACCATTTCATGTCCGAGTACCTGAAGCAGGAGGAAAGCACCCGGCGCGGGGCCAGGACGCCACACGTGCTACTGCCTCCAGCCCCATCCACTGACCTCCCGGGGCTGAGCCGCCAGGTCACGCAGAACGATCTGAACAGGATCCAGGCCCACCAGTGGCCAGGGGTAAATGGGTGTCAGGACACACAGGGTAACTGGTATGACTGGACGCAGTGCATATCGCTCGACCCGCACGGCGACGACGGGCGGTTGAACATTCTGCCTTATGTTTGCTTAGACTGACTGGCCCCTCGGCCTCTAAGTGCATTCCCACCTTGCAGTTAGCAGGAGGGCAGCCGGGCCCGGAAGCCTCCAGTGGTTTGGAGCCCAGCTGAGGCAGAAGGTGGGGCAGGGGTCTAGAGGTTCTCTCCGAGCTCTTCCCTCAAAATTCTCCTTCTTTTGTGAAATGCTGCTACCAGTTTACTAACAAAATTACAAAGGAAGGACCGCGTGGAAGGAAGGCCAGCAAATTGAGTTCAGAACTCTATAGCAAACCAGCTATAAAAAGTGTCAGTTCCCCACCCCAAAAGAGGTGTGGACACTTCCCGGCACCCATAAGCTGGGACCTCAGTTGCAGGCAGGCACAGAAAACCTGTGGGAGAAGTTACCTTTAACAAAGCAACAGAAGCACGCATATCACCTACCTGCGTTTTCTGTTCTTTAATTTGGCCCTGAGGGTTTGAGGCAGTGGGCAACCCTATGGCCTTTGTTTGCACCCCACCCAGCCAGTGTTTCTGTCATGGTTCCAGAAGCTTTGCAGATGTAGCAAGCTGCTGGCATGAGGCGGGCCACCTAGCTAGCCAGTTTGACCCACACTCCATGGTATTTGGTTTCAGTTCAAACCCAGTTTTTAAAGAAATGCTGCAAAATTTTAAGTTTTCTAGAGTTTATTTTATTCCCCTCTTCCATCTGACCACCAGCCAAGTAATTTTCCTTTTCCTTTTCCCTTTCCTGCACATATCTAGAAAATTTCACCTTTCTAGAGTCCCATCCCCAAAACAAAAGGTTCCCACAGGTGTGTGCTACTGGTGTGTAAAGCTGTACTATTGGAGAGGAAACCTGTCTGCGCTGGAAACACTCATGACCATTCCTTTAGATTCGTTTGCCTTATGGTTATTGTCATAACGCGATTTGCAAAAACAAGGAGCCTTAGTGAATGTACAGTACCTAGACTTCTGTGTTCTCAGGATGCAGAAGGGAGCAACTTTGCTATTTGGTCCAGTAAGTGGACACCTTGTGATATAAATGTGGAAATAAAAAAAAAAACATTTGCACAGACTGGTCTGAGAATCATTTCTAATTTGGTCCTTTATAGCCAAATCAGCCCTTTGTGGATTCTGGACAAACCAAGAAAACCTGGAGCAAAGAAAACGTGTCCAAGCTTCGGGCCCCACGGGGGACTGCAGGGAGGTGGACAGGTGACCCAGTCAGCCTGTTAGCATTCTTCATGGGCACTGACCTCCATTTGCTTTTCATTCATTCAGAGCCACATGTTACTTCTCCCACCCCGTCACCTGCTGGCTTTGGGTGAGAGACCAGGGTCTATCAAGGAATGTTCTGTCTCCATCCAGACCTCACCTGCCCCAGAGAGAAGCCCTCTCAAGCAGGCTGTGTGACCTTTTTTTTTTTTTTACCCCTAAAATACTTGTAGTTTTTACATTGCATGGCGCAGAGCCATGTCTGGCAGACTGCCTCTTGGCCCCAGCCCCAGGCCTGGAGCTTAGATCTGGCTGGTGCTAAATTTAACTTTTCTTCCTTGACTATAAAGTGATAATCTTTTTTTTTAAATCCTCACCCGAGGACATTTTTGCATTTATCTTCAGACAGAGCAGGAAGGAGAGAGAAATAGCAATGTGAGAGAGACACATGGACTGGCTGCTACCCACAGGACCCCAACTGGGACCAGGGGCAAACTGCAACTGAGGTACGTGCCCTTAGCGGGAACCAAACCCAGGACTCTCCAGTCCATAGGCCGACGCTCTAACCGCTGAACCAAACTGGCCAGGGCTAAAGTGATACTAAGGTGATAATCATTTAATTCTCCCCCCATGTCTCTCGAACTACATAAGATGATTTTGATTTTCTAGTTTTTTCATTCAAGAATAGGTCATCTTGGCCCTGGCTTGTTTTGCTCAGCGGTTAGGGTGTCTGCCTGTGGACAGAGTTGTGGGTTCGATTCCAGCCAAGGGCACACACCTCGGTTGTGATTCGTCCCTGGCCCTGGTTTGGGGTCGTGCAGGAGGTAGCCCTTCAGTGTGTCTCTTTCTCATAGATGTCTCTCTCCCTCCCACTCTATCTGAACAAAAATAGAAAAATGTCCTGGCTGAGGATAAAAACAAAAATAGGTCATCTACTTTATTTCACAGATGAAGAAGCAGCTACCCCTTAAGAGGCAACCCCACAGGGCAAACCAAGAGGTCCAGGCACACTGAGCCAACCCAGACCTACAGTTCAGGAGCCAGTGGGGATATCTGACATAGACTTCCCCAGTTTGGTGCAGGACACACCCACCCCGAGAAGACGGCAGTGGGTGAAGTGGTTTTGAGGGCAGTCTAAGGCTGAATTCTGGTTCTGCCATCTACCAGCTGTGTGGCTCACTTCACTCCTGTGTACGTGTTCCACTTGAGAGATACAAGCACCTACTCCAGAGTTGTGAAGACTAAGTTAAATGATCCAAGTTTTTTTTTTTAAAGCACCTCAGTGGGATCATCTGTGCTGTGGAATAACTACTTTCCTAACTCCACTGTGCCTGTTTTCTCACCCTTGATGTACCAGCCCTGCTGCCGTGGGGGTGTCTGAGGAACTGATGTTACTCTGTGACAAATGGTGCTCTGCCACAGCTGGGAGAAGTGTGAAGGTTAGTGTACTATGAGTATCTCCTTTCCTCAGACCTGGGCTTTGGGACAGGTCTCTGCTCCCTGCCCAACTTCAGGTACCACCTCCTAAGTATCCAGTAAGTCCCATGGTAGATAATTGTCTACCTTTAAGAACCCAAGTTTAAGCTAAGGTTTCCCCTCTAACATTTTGGAGATTGGTGGATTGCCACTTTCTAATTTGCCAAGTAAGGACACTAAGAATTTTAACACCCTTCCTCCCCTGCCCCCACCAAAGTTGTTTAGTACATGACTTGGAGCAAATGAAAAGTCCTTTAAGTAGTACAAGATCATCTTGCTGAAAACACCGTCTTGTTTTCCTCCGCTGGGGCCTAGGGCATCAGCAGTGGGGGCACGGCACCTCCCTCTCCCAGAGAGTCATGGAGACAGTGCCATTGGAGGTTGCCATTCCTGGGCTTCGGTCTGTTCCCCTGTGAAATGGAGAGGGTCATACCTACTGCACAGAACACGTCGCGGTGGTTCCCAGGTCGTGCTGCGGAGAACCAGCCATGCGAGTCCGCTCCCGGTTTGCAGAAAGGATTTAGCTTTTAACAATCTGGTCTTCCACCCTTGATGTCCACTCCCGCTCGCCCGTCAGGAATCTGGTTGAGGGCGCCGGTGTAGCGCGGAAGTCGAGGGCGCCGGTGTAGCGCTCAATGGTCGGCTCTTGAGCGCCCACCAATTCTGCTTGGTCTTCGGCTCCCGGTCTCCAGGCCAGCCCACCGCGCTGCAACACCGCTCGGCTCCCGGCCTGCACCTCCTTTTTCCGCTTCCGGGATAGGTTCCGCCCCCTCCACCGGAAGCCCACCACAGGAGGCGGAGCCTGCGATCCCTACGTGATGGCGGGCGCGGCGATGACGCGAGGCGGTGGCCAATGGAGAGCGGCGTTGGCTGGCGTGCTCACCCCTCACGGCTCCGCGCCAGCCCTGCATCGGGCCGTCGAGCGGGCGGGAAGGGTGGCCGCTTGAGTAGGATGGCGGCGGCCCCGGGCGCCGGGGGCCCGGGCGCAGCGGGCGGCGGCGGCGGCGGAGCGCGTGAGGGCGCGCGGGTGGCAGCGCTGTGCCTGCTGTGGTACGCGCTGAGTGCGGGCGGCAATGTAGTCAACAAGGTGATCCTGAGCGCCTTCCCGTTCCCCGTGACTGTGTCGCTGTGCCACATCCTGGCGCTGTGCGCGGGGCTCCCTCCGCTGCTGCGCGCTTGGCGCGTGCCCCCCGCACCGCCCGTCTCGGCCTCTGGGTCCGACCTGCACCCGACTCCTGGCCCGCTGCTGCCGCCGCGCTTCTACCCGCGCTACGTGCTGCCCCTCGCCTTCGGCAAGTACTTCGCGTCTGTGTCGGCGCACGTCAGCATCTGGAAGGTGCCAGTGTCCTACGCGCACACCGGTGGGTGCCGCAACCGGTTGTGGGGTGATGTCTCACCTGGAATGTCGCCAAGGCTATTAGCGGCGGGGGGAGGGGGGGCAAGCACGAGGGGGTATCAGGGAGGGGAAGGCCTGAGACGGGAAATGAGAGCCCAGTAGGGCAGACCACAACTGTTGAGTTGTGGGGAAGCTCCACAGAAAGAGAAGGGGTGAAGAGTTTTGAGGGGCTACCAAGCTGTCTTAACCCGTAGAGAAGTTGGGACAGATTCCCAGGGTGGACCTGGGGTCTAGGGCGGCCACCTGAGTGCCCCTTGCTTCTCTTTGCAGTCAAGGCCACCATGCCCATCTGGGTGGTCCTCCTGTCCCGAATCATCATGAAAGAGAAGCAGAGCACAAAGGTAACCCAGGAGGACTCTGGGCAGGTGGGGACTCCAAGGGCTTCCAGGAAGTTGCCTAGCTGGTGACGTGGTCCAGGCTTCTGGCCTACAGGCTGCCAGGCTTCCTGTCAAATAAGGAAGTCAGCTTAGATGCCTCTGGTGGCTCTTTTGCTGCTAATTTTCTCAAATCACCTTGGGAGAAGTGGTGTGTGGGGTGTGTGTCCCTGAGTTGTCTCTCCTGTGTGGTTTTGTGAACATTGCCCTCCCTCTCTCTGGTCCCACTTTCCTTCCTGTTTTAAATCCCTACCCTGAGTATTTGGTAGACAGTGACTTGGTCCCATCTTGGCCAGGCACCCATTCCCCTCCAGTGGGACCGAGGATGGAACATCTGACTTCATGCTGGAATGAAGTCTTACATTTTTGCAAGAAACAGCGTGGTCAGGTTGGAGGTTCCTGGGGTCCGAAGTGAGATGCTAGTAAAAGGAGTCTGATTTTGGCAAAATTCATCAGTTTTCAAAATAAAAGCAGCCAAGAATTGGGAATGTTTGAGAGTGGAAGTTAAAATAACAGACAGAATCCAGAACTGCATAAGGAAGCAGCTTTGGGCACAATCCAGGGTCTGTTCAATATGCCAAGCCAGGGTATTTCCTGGCTTGAGGTGAGAGAAGCTGTGGCTTTAGCCTGAGACAGCCTTGCCCATGTCCTTAAATTGAAGTAGAACTCTTTTGTCCCAGCTGGAATCTATTTCATGTTGGACAGAGCACTTCTTTTCTATGTGGTTGGTTTCTGGCATGTTATATTTTATGTAACTAAGAGCATCAGTGCCTTGGATCAGCTTATAGGAATTGGACCACCTCTGGCTGATTTTTTATTTCAACTTATCTTTTTCCCTGCAAGACCTGCCTGCCCCCAGGGTAGTGTCAGATGTGACTTGTCTGCTGAGTCGAAGTTGCCCTGGAGGTGTACAGCTTTATCACTCGATATCACAGCATGTTTATCAGGTTTCCCCAGAACATTGGACCTGGCTTGGGCAAGGAGCTGGAAACTTCACCCAGTGAGGAAACAGTAGGGAATGACTTGGGCAGGAGTCTGATAATGATGGAATAAGTATGTATCCACCCAATGAGGAAGATAAAGCAGGTCATTCTGGGGAGTAAATGGGTCTTGTAAGGGGGGAGTCACATGCTTGAGGACTATAGCAAGTAGTGGGGAAGCCGGAATTCAGAGCCCTTACTGTGCCCTGGTGGTGATAGTGGTGGCAGGAGTGGGCACCTCACCAGCCCCTCCTAAAATTTCCATAGTACTTTAAGAATGTCCTTTGGAGGAGAGAGATAAGCTGGGAGTCAGAAGAGCTAAATGTCAGGAATGGATTTTATTTCTCTGGAAATTGGGAGCCATTTAGCTAGCAGAGCTCAGGAGCCATTCTGGGCCCTGGAAAGCCTGAACCTAGCAGTTACTGGGCACCTACCTGCTGTATGCTGGGCACTGAGATAGAGTAGTAAACGAGGACCTGTCCTAAAGGAGTGCAAAGACACAGACGGTGTAATGGACACTTATGATTGGAGATCTCTGTGCCCAGGAACCTGACAGGATGGGTGGAGGGTGCAGGAAGGTGGGTGGGAAAAATTCTCATGAAGGGTGTGTGAACTAAGGCCTAAGGGGAAGGACCTCTCCAGCTAGAGAAGGTGTTGGGAGAGTGTTCTAGCCAGTAGTAAATCGTGTTGGAAAAGGGACCCTGCCCGCCTCCTGGAGGATTGAGGTTTCAGACCCTGGTGTGTTGGTGGTGGCAGCTGGATAGATCTGTTAGGAGCAGCCCCGGTTTGTGTCCTGAGCAATGGCTTTTTTTGTGTGTGTGTATGTGGCACGTGCCCCTAGCGGGAACTGAACGCGGGACTCTGGTTCGCAGGCTGACGCTCAACCACTGAGCCAAACTGGCCAGGGCTCTTTTTTTTTTTTATTTGTTTTTCCCTTATTGATTTTTAGAGAGAGAGGAAGGGAGAGGGAGAGAGAAATAGAAACACCTCGATTGGTCGCCTCCAGTATGCCCCCCACTGGGGGTCAGGCCCACAACCTGGGCATGTGTCCTGACCGGGAATTGAACCGGAGACCTCTTGGTGCACGGGTCAGCGCTCAACCACTGAGCCACCAGCCGGACTGAGCAATGGCTCTTAATGGGGGTGATGGTATAAGGAATAGGCTGCCCACAGTGACACAGCCCTGCCCCAGGTAATATGATAACCATCTGCCTTCCCCCAACCTCCAGAGCATCTCTCACAGCTAACACTACTGTTCAAAGGGATAGGTGGTGTCCTTTTGGTGAGGGAGGAGAGAGCAACTGAGGCTTTCCCTGAGTGTCTGTGTTGGGCAGCCCAGCTCAACTCTGGCCCATCAGTCCTTCCTGCCCTCCTCCCACAGGTGTACTTGTCACTCATCCCCATCATCAGCGGCGTCCTGCTGGCCACTGTCACCGAGTTGTCGTTTGACATGTGGGGGCTCATCAGTGCTCTTGCTGCCACACTGTGCTTCTCGCTTCAGAATATTTTCTCCAAAAAGGTATTTAGGCACCATCTGTGGTATGCTTGGTGTTTTGGGAGTATGTGGGTGGCATTTGAAAAAGTGGCCAAGTAGGGATTTCTTCAGCATTGGAGCAAAGAAAATTGTGTTCTTTTGCTGGTTTTCTATTGTTTAATTTTTTCAAAGAGAGTATGTTTCTGTTACTCATTTATTTATTTATTTTCAAATACTAGCAAAAGTTTATTTAGAAAGTCACAAAGGTAGTAAAAGTGAGCCAGCTGGGCTGCATGGGCTCAAAAAACAAGTTTAGAGGCAAAAGAAAGGCCCTTGCAGCTAACGAGAGAGAGAACAAAGGTACTTGCCTTGAGGGAAGAAGAGGGGAAAGGTGGAGGCATGCTCCAAAGAGAGAGAGCACCAAGAGATTATGTTTTTTATTATACAATTAGCATATGCTCAATGTGAAAAAAATAGAGAAAAGCTCAATGGAAAAAAACCAGAATTGAGAACCTACTATGTGCCAGGAACTGTAGTAGGCGCTAGAGGAGAAGAAGCTGCCTGCCCGGGGGTTCCCATGCAATTAAGTGAAGTCACAGTACTATCCCCTAAAGAGAAGTATTAGTGCTAGGGATATTTCTTGCACAATTTTTAGAGTTGTAATGTAGATACATTTTTAAATTTTGCTTTACTTACTATTGTAACATTGCATTCTCCCATATCATTAAAAATCATTGCTTTTAACTCCTGTAACAATCACATTCTTTTCAGGTACCACAGTTAATGCAGTTAGTACTTCTATTGCAAATGCAGGTTATTTCCAACTATTCATTGTAAGTAATGCAATAATTTACAGTGTTTTTCTCTCAGGTTATTTCCTTGTGATTGGCTTATATAAGGCTATAATAATAAGAGTCAGAAGATACGAAATGTTTATGGTTCTTGATGTACTTTACCTGATTGTGTTCTGAAACAGCAATGTACCAATTTAGTGGGATTTCAGAGTGCCTATTTCACTGCAGCTTCACCAGCATTGAGGCATTAAGTGTTGCCTTTTTTTGTTTTGTTTTGTTAATCCTCACCTGAGGATATTTTTTCCATTGCTTTTTAGAGAGAGAGTCAATGGGGGGACACACACACACACACACATTGCCTCCCTAATGTGCCCCAACCAGGCTAGGGAATCGAACCTGTGACCTTTTAGTACATGGGCTGACACTAAACACTGAGCCACACCAGCCAGGGCTGTTTTTTGTTTTTTCCTCTTCTTTTCTCTGTCCTTCATATATAAAACATTGTGCTTGTTTTGGGCATGAGCTATGTGTTTCATCACTTGTAGGTTTGGCAGTCAGATCTGATGTCAGGGTTAATGTACAGTCACTGTGTTTGGAGCCTGGGTGACTAGAGTCCTTGCCACTTACAGTGTTGATTGTCCTTTAAAGAGATTTTTCTCTCTTCAGGTATTGAGAGACTCACGGATCCACCATCTGCGGCTACTGAACATCTTGGGCTGCCATGCTGTTTTCTTTATGATCCCCACGTGGGTCCTGGTGGACCTCTCAGCTTTCCTGGTCAGCAGTGACCTGGTGAGTTGGCCAGCACTAAGAATATTACCCTTGGTTCCAAAGTAGGTGCTTTGTCAGGTGTTATGCCTCTGTGTTTACTTTGGGGCAGTTGGGGGCCTCTGACAGCCAGGTTTTTTTAAAAAATATGTTTTTATTAATTTTTTTTTTTTTTTTTAGAGAGAGGAAAGGAGAGGTAGAGAGAGATAGAAACACTGATTGCTGTCTCCCACATGCCCCCCACTGAGGACCAAGCCAAAAACCCAGGCATGTGCCCCGACGGCAAATCAAACCCGTGACCTCTTGGTGCATGGGACAACCTTCAATCCACTGAGCCACACCAGCCAGGTGACAACCTGGTCTTTGAATACTCAGCTCTTTGTTGTGACCCACACTGTGTATAGTTGAGGAAGTCGGCTTCCTTTGCATTTCCTTCTTCAGCACGCCAGATCCCAGTGGCTGATGGCAGTCGCATCTGCACCAGTGGCATGAAAGAAGAAAAACTACCAGCACAGGGGACTTTCCTGTCCTGATAATGTTGTTCAGATCTCACTCTGACTTTAAAATTGTGCTCAGTTCCTTTCTTGGTGTCATTTCCGTACATATTTTCATGTACTCCAGTTGTAGCTATAGCTCTCTGAGCACAGGGAATAGTGTCTTCCCACCACCTGTGCCAGGCCAGCCTCCAGAACGTATGCTAGAAACTAATGCAGGTGATAGTGATAAGAAAGAGGTGTGCAGTCCAGCCGATGTGGCTCAGTGGTTGACCATTGACCCATGCACCAAGAGGTCATCAGTTTGATTCCCGGTCAGGGCACAAGCCCAAGTTGTGGGCTCGATCCCCAGTGCAGGGCATGCAGGAGGCAGCCAGTTGATCTGTCTTTCTCATTGCTGTTTCTCTCTCTCTCTCCCTCTCCTTTTCCCTCTCCCTCTCTAAAAATGAGTAAAAACATAAAAAAAAGAAAGACGTGTGGGTGGTTCTTCCAGGCTTGACCTGAGTTAGGGAGAAGGAGTAAATGTTTATTAGGGCTTAATAAGGATTTTTTTTTTTTAATCCTCACTTGAAGACATTTTTTCCATTTTTTTTGTTCAGGTAGAGTGGGAGGGAGAGAGAGAGAGAGAGAAACATTGACGTGAAAGGGACACATCGACTGGCTGCCACCCGCACGACCAGGGCCGGGGACAAACTGCAACCGAGGTACGTGCCCTTAGCAGAAACCGAACCTGGGTCTCTCGGGACCGCAGGCCGATGCTCTAACTGCTGAGCCAAACTGGCTAGGGCGGATTTTTTAAGTATGTTTTCATTGATTTTTTTTAGAGAGAGAAAGGGAGAGAGAAACATCAATGGGAAAGAGAAGCATCGATCAGCTGTCTCCTGCACACCTCCTACTGGGGATTGAGCCCAAAACTAGGTATGTGCCCTGACCAGGAATCAAACCAGGACCTCTTAGTCCATGGAGCGTTGCTCAGTCCACTGAGCCACACCAGCCGGGCATGGATGCTTGACATTAGTCTTTAGTCCTTCACACCGCCTGTGGATGTAGTGGAGATTATCTCTGGTTACCACATAAAACTGTGGCTCCATGTTCTATCACTTCCACCTTGATTAGCTGTGATTTTTCTGTGAAGAACTTTTTTTTTCTTCTTTATTGGTTTTTAGAGAGTGGGAGGGAGAAGGAGAGAGAGACAGAAACATCAGTGAGAGAGAACATCAGTTGGCTGCCTCTTGCATGCCCCTCCACTGGGGATCGGATAAGGCTCTGACCGGGAATTGAATTGGCGACCTCTTGGGGCATGGGTTGATACTCAACCACTGAGCCACACTGGCTGGGTAAGAACTTTTTTTTTTAATACTCACCCGAGGATATTTTTCCCATTGATATATATATTTTTTTTTTTTTCCCCCAGAGAAAGTGGGAGGGAAGGAAGGGGGTGGTATAGAGAAAGAGAAAAATCGATGTGAGAGACAGCGATTTTTGGTTGCCTCACACGCCCCAACAGGGACTGGGAATCATACCTGAGACCCTTGAGTGCGAGGGCCAGTGCTCTAATCACTGAACCACATCAGCCAGGGCTGTGAAGAACTTTCATCATCAACCAGTACTAGTCTGTTACCTTGAAATACAGTACCTGAGAAGGCAGTGCAGTGCTTCTCTTTCCTTTTAGTTATCATTTTCAGAGTAAAGAGTTAGAGCTGACTGCAAAGAAACTAATGAGTTGAAGTTTTTTGGCAGAGGAGAGGGGTGGAGGAAGTTTTTTTTATTTTTATTTTTTAGTGTCATTATGAAATCATGTTAGTTGTGGCCCTGGCCGGTTTGGCTCAGCGGTTAGAGCGTTGGCCTGCGGTCCTGAGAGACCCGGGTTTGGTTCCTGCTAAGGGCATGTACGTCAGTTGCAGTTTGTCCCCGGACCTGGTTGGGTCGTGTGGGTGGCAACCACTCGACGTGTCCCTTTCACGTCGATGTTTCTCTCTCTTTCTCTCCCTCCCACGCTATCTGAACAAAAAATGTCCTCGGGTGAGGATAAAAAAAAAAAAAAAATCATGTTAGTTGTACATATTATTTTCATGTTCAAATTAAACTGTCCTGACCAATGGAGTCCTTCCTATTGGCTCCCTGCCCTTCTGACAGCACATGTCAGCCTTTGGTGGCTTTTGGTTCAGCAGGATGTTCTCTATCTATGCACCTCTGATCCCAGACCTGCCATTAGCCAGTCCTTGGGGAAACCAGGTTGCTTTTAGTGGAGAGTGGTGTTTAGAAACGCAATCTGAGTGTTATATGTGCTCACTGCTGTTGGGCTATCATTGCTTTTAAGCCTTTGCAATGAAACACTTAGGAAAGAAGTATACGGGGGCAGGAGAGAGAGTTCATTCTAATTCTTTCCATTCCCATTTAACATCACAGGATTTATTACTGCTTTGATTTTTTTTTCTTTTATTAATATCTTTTCTGGAATGCTTGGTTCCTTGCAACATTTTCTATTCACTTATCCTACTCCTGTTATTCACATACTTGACCGTACTGTACATACATATAATTGCTTTAGAATGAGAATCCCCAGGGCCACTGCAGGTCAAGCAATGGGAAAAGTTTAAGATTTCTGTGTAGCTCTCTACTTGTTCTTAGAACATGTTCCATTAAAAATGTCCAGCAGGTTCTTGAATAATGTCATTTTGTTACAGCATTGATGAGATGCTGTAGAAATTTAACTCGTTTGTATCAATCAGCCTATAGTAAAACTGGTTTTCTTAATATGTCCTTTCGCTTAAAGTCTCAGAACCTGTCAAGGACATTAAGAACCTACTATACAATTGAAATACTGTATTCTAAGGGCACTTGAAATAATTGTTTTCACAATGTGCCTCTGTCAACGACTTCTTGTATCGTTGGGTTCCTTTACTTGTGTTTCTTTTCCATTTTTAGGCGTTGCTTTTTCCCTTCACCCCACTGAATATTTCAAATCTTTGTATTTCCAAAGCCAAATTATATGACAAAGTTTTTTCAACGATATATTCATAACTTCCCTCTTCCTTACACAAATAGTGACTGTTTAGTTATTTAGAAAGGAGTAACTTGATTTTTTCACTCAATGAGATCACTTATATTGACGTACTTAGGTCTTTCTTATTCCTTTCATTGGCTGCATTATATGGTTGATAGGTTTGTTGTCAGTTCTCTTATACTGTCCTTTGTTACAGCTCTTTGGGATCTATGTATATACATGCACAAACATGTATGTACAGGTGTGGCTCTGGTCTCTTTGCTTTGCTTTTTTTTGTATTGAAGGCATTTTTCAGTTTCTTCTAGTGATCACCTTGTTTTGTGTTACTTTTAGTGTCCTCTTTTTCTCGTTGAGGTCCTATACATATATATGTTTTTTTTGTTTACCTTGATGGAGCCCTTGTTTTGTTCTAACAGTGGTCCTAGGAGCACACAGCTTTCAATAGTGCCATTACCCCAACTAGGAGCAAAAATCTGGGTGACCTTATGCAGGTCACCTAAGTGTATCTTGCTCACTTTTGAGAGAACTGCATGATCCTTCCCTCTCAGAAGGTGGTAGAGATGGAATCAAGCAGCCATCCTAAGATTGCTCCAGCTCCTCTCCTGGCAGGGCCACTGTCCTGAGGGAGCCAGCTGTATCCTCTCATAGCCAAAGCCAATGCAGCCTGGGAATTGGCCTGCAGAGAGCAGCTGCTGCCAAGAATCTATTGCCTTGTTGCCTGACAGAGCAACAGTGGGTCTGGAGCCTGTTCTGCCCTCGGAGCACTGGGACACAGGGCTGTCCCAACACTTCTGTCTGGGTCACAGACACTGGAGAGACAGATAGGCTGGGGCTGTCCATGGCTAGTGTGCCATCTCCAGAGGTTGTTAGCTGGCCTGGCAGCCCTACCTGTACAGTCTCTTGGTTCCCCAAGGTAGGACTGTGGAGGGTGGAGTAGTGTGGAAGCCATGCTGCATGCTTTTTGTCATTCAGCTCTGAATACATATAAATCCATAAATATGTAGTGCAGGGTGTTCCCAGCCGCCTGGCCAAGACAGGGCCTGACTAGTTTTCCCCCATCTGCCTATCCAAGGGTCAGCCCAGGATCTTGGGGGGGGGGGGGTTGGAATGGGTCCTGTGGTACAGATGTCTGCTAGTTGTGGGTTATTGACTTCTGGGCCCCCTTAATCAAAGTGTCTCATTCAAGTGAGGATCAGATGGTAACTACAGTTTTGATGGTACATCACCTTATGTTTGTGTGGCTTGGAATTGTTTTAAAGCACTTTTGGAGCCACGATCACATTTCATCTCCACAGCAGTGACATTGTGCAGGCTCAGCAGGGATCATCCAGTTGCAGAGACAAGAAACCACAATCAGAGAGGTCAAGCAGATGCCCAAGGCTTCCAGTAATAGGGCAGGCCTCTGGCTCTCACCCTGTGGGGGATCTTTATACATTCAGGTATGATAGTGTTAGGAGGTGGGGCCTTTGGGAGATAAATCATGGGGTGATGGAGCCCTCATCACTGGGATCAGTGCTGTGAAGGGACCCTAGAGAGCATTCTCACCTCTTCTACCACTTGAGGACACCACAAGAAAACACCATCTGTGAACCAAGAAACCCACACCAGACATGGAATCTTCTTGATCTTGGACTTCGAGTTTCTAGAACTAAGACATAAATGTCTGTTGTTTGTAAGCCCCCAACCTATGTTGTCTGTTATAGGAGCCCAAACAGACTGAGACCATGTCCAATAAGTAGACCTCACTCTGTTAAATCCATAGCTCTGGCCTTCACTGTCCAGGGATGAGGGAAGGCTTCGGTTCATAACATGTTCTGCACCCTTTGGACACCTGATTTCCCTCTTTGAGCCTCCACTTTCTCAGCAGAAGGGGAAGGTGGTGGTGGTGGTGGTGATGATGATGATGGCTATAATGACAATGGCGGTAGTGGTTGATGGTGGTGATTGTGATGATGATGGTGATGTTGAAGGCAGTGATAGTGGTGATGACGGTGATGATTGTTGTGCCATGCAGAGTGTCATGAGGGTTAGAGGCTGTGTGTATAAAGCACCTGGTATCACACTAGAACCCACCTTGGTTTGCTCCCTACTTACTACCCCAGTAAGTCAATCTGCCCCCTCCCCCAACCTCTGCCAGGGCAGACATGTGACCATGGTGCTGTCTTGCTTCTGTCTGTAGACCTACGTGTCCCAGTGGCCTTGGACACTCCTGCTTCTGGCTATCAGTGGCTTCTGTAACTTTGCCCAGAACGTCATCGCCTTCAGCATCCTCAACCTCATCAGCCCTCTTAGCTACTCGGTCGCCAACGCCACCAAGAGAATCATGGTCATCACAGTGTCCTTGATCATGCTGCGGAACCCAGTCACCAGCACCAATGTCCTGGGCATGATGACGGCCATCCTGGGGGTCTTCCTGTACAACAAGGTGAGTCTGACATCTTGATACCCAGGGAGGCACCAAGAGTTGGTTGAGGGGAGAAACGAAATGGCCTGGCCAGAAGTTAAGAGGCCTAGGTTCCAGCTTTCAGCCAAACTGGTTTATGGTCTTGGCACTGCCCCTTCTGTCCTGGCCTTCCTTTTCTACATGGATGGCCCAGCCCTTGCCTCGCTCCAGCCATGGCTCTCGGGTTTACTGGGCCTTTGTTGGGATTTCGCTCTCTTCTCATGTAGGTTCTCTTTAGTCCTCTGTAAGGACATAGGATTGGCTAACAGGGAGGGCCTGTCCATTAACCATTCACTGGCCATGTCCAGTGCTGCTTGGATCAACACTGGTGTCGGCCTTGAAGGGCTGCTTGGTAGTGAATCTTGAGCTCCCCTTTGTCTTGTGCACATGTTCTGGGGAAGGAGCCAAGTGTCCCACTGTTCTCTTGACCCTGCAGACCAAGTACGATGCAAATCGGCAAGCACAGAAGCACCTCCTCCCCATCACGACAGGGGACCTGAGCAGTAAGGAGCACCACCGAAGTCCCCTAAAGAAGCCCCACAACGGTGTCCTCTTCCCCCAGCATGGGGACTATCAGTATGGCCGCAACAACACCTTAACAGACCACTTCCAGTACAGCCGGCAGAGCTACCCAAACTCATATAGTTTGAACCGCTATGATGTGTAGCGTCTAGAGGATAGGATGGGCTGTTCTGCAACACCCTCCTCCCAACTCACCCATCCTCAGCAGTACCAGAAACTTCTGACAACTAGTGAATGTAAGCCCAGCCGAGGGCACGAGGGCATGGTGCACAACCATCAGAGGACCCTGGGGTTTCCAGCCCCTCGGGGCAGCAGGATGCCCTCCCTGCAGTGAGGACAACTGCCCTCAAGCTCTGGTGTTTCACGCCCTTTTTTCCTGGAGTCTGTCATCTAAGGGCAGCAGCACCGTAGAGATTTTAGCCAGGTTTTACGTTTCTGTGTGGACCTTATCCCCAAGTCATGTATTTCAGAGTTCTTGTTCTGCTTCCCAAATAGCATTTCCAGATAACCCTCTGGAAAGACGGAATCATTGTGGATACAGACCCTGGAGCGGACAAGGAGATGGACTCAGTTTCCCTGTCAGCCCTACAGCTGTTTGCAGTTACTGGCAAGCACTCTTAACTGAACAGCTATTGCAGTTAGCATTGAACTTTTAGAGGCTGATTCTTTGACTTTCAAGTCAGACATGTGTGTTGGGATCCAGAGGGAAGAGCGGAGCAGGGTATTGCTCCTCTTGGGCCAGTAAGGAGGAGACTGCAGAGCTTGGGGTGGGGGGGTTGGGGAGGCACGGGTATCATTAGGAAATCATGTTCGGTGTTTCAAGCTCTAATTCTGACTTTTTTTACTTTTCTGGTGGGTCCTCACTGCTATGATGACTTAGCAGGATGTTGGAGAGATGTTGATTTCATGAGAATCTCTCATTTTTGTAGGGAATGTTTTGTAGTTGTATTTATGCCTTGGTCCCCAGAAGGGGATGCATAAGGACTGGCTTATAGACCGAAAGCTCTTTTGCTTTTAAATGTCTAAAAACAAGAAAAGTTCCCACTGCTGATGCCTGTCTTGACACATAATCAGTATTTGGTAGGAAACAATGAACTGTTGAGAAGTACCTCTCAAATGACCACAACTGCTGAAAACAATGAATCAAGATTATCTGGATGGTTTGTGTGACAGACAAGAGGACAGTGCTTTGATGACATGGTCTGTTCTTGTGTGCTTATGTTGGGATCCGAATCATGTCCTGGTGAAGGGGAAAAGAGGCGAACACCAAGCTAGGATCTAGTGTGTCAAATCAGATGTTTTGATGAAGAAAAAATTGGTTTAAAAAAAGAAAAAATAGACCAACTGATGTGGCTCAGTGTTTTGAGCGTCATCCCATGCATCAAGAAGTCGCTGGTTTAATTCCCGGTCAGGGCACATGCCCAGGTTGCAGGCTCCATTCCTAGTAGGGGGTGTGCAGGAGGCAGCCAATCGATGTTTCTCTCTCATTGATATTTCTCCTTCCTTCTCCCTTCCTCTCTATCTAAAAATAAATAAAAAACATAATTTTTAAAAAAGAATAAATTGGTTTTGGCAAATTCACATCATGATGACCTGTGTGCCAAGGTCCAGGTGAGGCTTTCCAACTTTCCTGGCATCATGAAGGACCCGACCACATCCTCCCTCCTGGAAAGAACCATTGGCTGGGCTGGTGGGGTCTATGGTGATGGCTACTTTCTTCCTTTAGCACCATCTCCAACAGTTGGGACAGGGATCATCCTTTACCTCTTGGTGAGGGAGACATTTTTCCTGCTCAGAGGGTAAGTGATGTAGCTTACACTTGACTCTTGGTGTTTTTGATAATTAGAATTTTGTATATAAGAGGTTCCATTTTGTCAGCTCATATTGGGCTGCTTCTGGATAGGTCTCAAAAGCCTTCTGGCCTGTGAGTTTATGAACCACCAGCCTCAGGAGTCCCTGTTTGTTGTCTGTTGTTAGCTTGCTTTCTAATTACTTTGGCCCCAAGTTTCAAGATGATTGCTATGTGAAATCTGAAAAGGCAATCCTGAAGGGTGTTATTGGTGATGAGCTTGCTGAGTGCCTTTACCAGAAGCAGTCAAGTCTTCAGTTGAATTTTTCTCAAAGCCGAATAACAAATGGGGATAATATTGCACTGCAAAGATATTATGGTGATTGTCTTTATGATCAGAGTAACTGACTCCTTGAACATGTAATTGAACACCAAAATGAATTATGTCTCCATTCAGGCTTAATGAAATTTCTGATGTTGCTGAAATTTGTGTATTAGTTTGTTTTCCTTTTCTAATGCAAAACCTGCTGGTGAGGGGAAGTGACTGATTTTATTATGGTTTATAAATTAATAAGTGGGATATTTAATTCTGTATATAAATTTACAGTAAGTACATACACTGGAATGAATAAGACAATCATTTTAGATCAAATCATCAAATCAAAAGACAAAGGCATACTTTTGATTTTGAGACTTGACAATTCAGAGCTGACTGACCCCTTGAAGGCTGGTTTTCCAGCCATTTGCTGCCCTGGTCTGCCACCGTACCCCCCATTCACATTTGAACCTGTTCCCCTTACACTCCTCACTAGTGGGGTGTGTGGCAGTGTGTTCAGTTTACTCACTTCTGGTGTGGTCTGGCCTGCGACACTAACCCAACTCCTTCATTTTACAGAAGGGGAAACAGGCTCAGAGGGCATTTTTAAAGTGTTTTGAGACTTGGTGTCGAATTTTTAAGCACTGTATTTTAAGTCATTCATTATAGGGAAAATCAAACCCTATTACAAAGGAGAGAAGCCAGAATATGTTCCAGTGAAGAAGTGCTGGAATTTCTGAATTTTGCTGTGTATTTGGCATACATAATGCAATAGGCCCTTGATTATTGCTGGGATGTAACCAGCCCTGATTTATTAAGGGTCCAACAGGGCAGAGACTGTTAAATTATTAAAGGATCTGAAAATTGTGAATTCTTTTAATTGTCACCTGTTTTCAAGATTTAAATGCAATAGACTGTTTTGTGGGAATGACACTGTATATTCATTGATGGCATTTACCAAAAATAAATGATGGTCTCCAGGGAGTCGAGACTGGTCCCAGTTTGTCAGTGAGGGTCTCTTTCTGAGTGACCATCTTAAGTGTGCTCAGCAACAAGACGAACAAGAGAGAGAAAGAGCAACCAACCTGGTTCTCATATCAAAGAGTATTTCAAACCTTATTTTTTCCTGAGCCAAATTTAGGACCTGTGATTTGTGAATTTATGAGATGGTAGAATAAAGCTATAGAAATCACAGCATATCAATTAATGACATGCCTTTATTGAAAAGAATAACATGTGAAACCCAAGAACGTTGTGGCAGCTTATGTTTATGGAGCGTATTTCTGAGGCATAATACCTACTACATGCCCAATGCAGTGGTGGGTTTTCATACACAATTCTTATTATCCCTTTGTGTTGTTTTATTACTTTCATAGATTAAAAATAAAGCCCAAAGTCTGCCTCCAAAGCCCAGTTCCCTGCATATGACTCAGAAACTATTTCCTTCAACCACAGTTGAAGTTGTCAGCTGAGCACAAGAAAGTCAGAAAGCTTTGGCTAGAAATAAATGACAAAGATCTGTAGGGTCTCAGGACTTGCAAATTGGAAACGCAACTAAGCACTACCCTAGTGTGTTCCAAAGAAGAAAAACAATTCTTACAGAAAAAAGTACGTTCTTCAAAAAGAATCAGTCCTGCATTCCGAGCCTCTGGATTGGTGTGACGGTAATCTAGAGGTCCTTTGGTCTAGATAACGGATATAAGTTTTCCTAAGTGCCTTTGTTCTTTCCTAAGTCCTTCAGAGGGTTACCTATCTAGGCACTGGCATACAAGTGAAGAATTCAAAATTGTCAGTCCTGCCCTGGGCTGTGTGGCTCAGTTGATTGAGCACCGTCCCATGCACCAAGAGGTCACAGGTTTGATTCCCAGTCAGGGCACATGTCTGGGTTTCAGGTTCGCTCCCCAGTAAGGGATATGCAGGATGCAGTTGATTAATGTTTTGCTCTCACATCGATGTTTCTCCTTTCCCCCTCTCTCTAAAATCAATAAAAACATATATATATATTTTAAGTGTAAGTCCTTACCTAGTTAAAGCAAGAATATAATTGTTTCCTCATGCCTCAGCCTACTTAATTTTAGTAATTTAGCAGCCTGACTATACTGACTCATTTTATTTCTTCACTCTTTCCTCAAAGGGTATGTTTCTGCTAAAACAACTACCCACATCTTTTTAATTCATAAACCTTTTGTTCATTGATTTACTAAGCATTTAATTTGTGCCAAGTACAAGAAGCTGAGATACATAAGCCTCCTACCCTCAGAGCACTCAGTTTAACTTCTAGATGTGTAACTAAGTAGCACATTGGTGCTATTTTGAAGGTATAAGAAAAAAAAATGCTCAAGAACGTGCAGGCTAATTATTTGAGGGGCATATTGAGAATGTTTAGACTTTCACAAATTCACAAGGTATTTTTTGCACATTTTGTATTACACATGTCTCATTTAACCATCAGAACCCAAGTGGGATATATTAGCCTCATATTATAGAGGGAAAAAGAAACGGAAAGTTGGCTTGGCCCATGGAGCAGGCCTGGAATCCAGGGGTGTACGACTCCAAGCCCAGGGCCCTCCCCAGCAAAACAGCCATAATAGTGAGCTTTTGTTTTTCTTCACCTTAGCCATATACCCTTAAGAGCTGGTGTGATCAAAAGTAAATCTGTTGAATAACAAAATATTTTTTAAAAAGTCCAGCTGGTGAGCCTCAGTGGATTGAGCATCGTCCCATGGACTGAGAGGTCCGGGTTCAATTCCTAGTCAGGCCCGGGTTACAGGCTCAATCCCAGTAGGGGACATGCAAAGAGGCAGCCGATCTCTCTCTAAAAAAAAATCAATAAAAGACATATTAATGCCCTGGCAAGTTTTGCTCAGTTGTTAGAGCATCAGCCCACAGACCAATGAGTCACAGGTTCGATTCCGGTCAAAGGCATGTACAGTACCCTTGGTTGCAGTTCGTCCCTGGGCCTGGTCAGGGTTGTGCAGGAGGCAACCAGTCGATGTGTCCCTCTCATGTCAATGTTTCTGTCTCTTTCCCTCTCTCTCCCTCCCTCCCACTTTATCTGAACAAAATATCAAAAAATGTCCTCGGGTGAGGATAAAAAAGTAAATAAATAAAATTAAAAAATATATATACATATATGTGTGTGTGTATGTATGTGTGTATATATATATTTTATATATATATATATATATATATTTAAGTATATCCTATTGGGTCAGGAAGAGGGTATCAATGTGGGGAAAAGGAGGGACATCAGTAATAAAAAAGAAAAAAGTATATTCTGACTTTTCACTTGCCTGGACCACACTGCTACAGTAAGACACTGAAAGGAGCCCTCATGTCTGGATGACCCAAGAGGCTTTGTAGTCTGTCACTGCAACTCCAGCAGGGTCACAAGCAACTCTGACCAGGGATGGGGTCACTGCCTTACAATTAAAGGCTGGATTTAGTGATGCCCCCATTTTTCAGAAAAGAGAGTGAACTCCTACTCAGGAATGTCTTCTCCCAGAGACTGCACTACCCGTTGGTCTCAGGGCAACTCCCATGTAACCAGAGGTTTGCTTGGTAATGTGATCAGGCCCAAGGAATGCTCCATGCTCCAGCACAAGACAGGACCACCTCTGTTCCCATATTGTTCCTTCCCTTGTGGCTTCAGCTAGTTGACCACATGGGGTTCAGTTACTGTGGGAGACGAGGTGACAGCCATACCAAGCTTTGGCTTCATTGAAACTATGGGTCTGGTTTTCTTGTCACCCCCTAATTTTTTAATAACTTTTATTATCTATATATGTTTAAGTTCAAAAACAATTGTTAAAGCTTCAATGTCAAAAACAATGAGAAAGATCTATGTATAGAGGAAACAATTTCCAAAATGTATAGAAGGAACAATTTCCAAAATGTATTAAGAGCCGGTTTGGCTCAGCAGTCCAGAGAGACCCGGGTTTGGTTGCTGCTAAGGGCACGTACCTCGTTTGCAGTTTGTCCCTGGCCCTGGTTGGGTCAACCACTCAATGTGTCCCTTTCGGGTCGATGTTTTTCTCTCTCTCTCTCTCTCTCTCTCTCTCTCTCTCTCTCCTCCCTCTCTCTCTCCCTCCCTCCCTCCCTCCCTCCCTCCCTCCCTCCTTCCCTCCCTCCCATTCTATCTGAACAAAAAATGGAAAATTGTCCTCGGGTGAGGATAAAAAAAAAAACAAAAAAAAAACAACACAAAATGTATTATGATATATAAGTGTTTGTGAATACAGTTTATCTCTGAAGATGCATAAGAAACTAAACAGAGCTGCTGCATCTGGGGAGGGGGAGGCTATATACACATTTTTAAAAAACTGCCACATTACTGTGCATATTATTTTGTAATATGCTTTTAAAAATATGCCAGAGCCCAGCCAGTGTGACTCAGTTGGTTGAACAGCGTTCCATGCACCAAGAGGTCACCGGTTTGATTCCAGGTCAGGGCACATGCTTGCTGGCTTGATCCCAGTAGGGCCGGAGGCAGCTAATGATGTCTCACATCGAAGTTTCTCTCTCCCTCTCTCTCAAATCAGTTTTTTTTTTTTAATCCTCATCCGAGGACATTTTTCCATTTTTTGTACAGACAGTATGGGAGGGAGAGAGAGGAAGAGAGAGAGAGGGAAACATCGATGTGAAAGGGACACATCGAGTGGCTGCCACCCGCACGACCAACCAGGGCCGGGGACAAACTGCAACCGAGGTACATGCCCTTAGCGGGAACCAAACCCGGGTCTCTCCGGACCACAGGCGGACGCTCTAACCGCTGAGCCAAACCGGCCAGGGCTCAAATCAGTTTTTAAAAACACCTTTAAAAAATTAAAATCAATGCCAGAAACATTTCACCATGCTATTAAATATTCTCCCTTTATTTTGTGTATCTATGTACATGGTGGTGTGGTCCATTAGGGATGTGCTACAATTAAGCCCTGAGATAAGTTTGCAGTGCATAATATAGCACACACTTCTGATATGGGATACATTCTTCACGCACATTTGTGGAACCAAAGCAGGTATGCATGTGGTTTCAAACTTATCTCCATTTTGCTGCTTAGGTGGGTCTATTCAAGTTCATCTCACCCAGGGGTATGCAGTTTGTTTACTTAAGTCTTGTTTCCAAGTCTTTGGAGACTATCTCTACAGCAGCTTCTACTTCTAGCAACTCTGCTGCTTTCTTCTGACCAGTGGATTCTGATTGGCCCACTGAAATGAGCCTAGGTGATGCCGTGATGCTTAAATTTTCAGTCTCTGATAAATGCATTTTTAAACAATATGAAATGAGTTATGAAAGAAGTGATCATGGGTGTACAATCTTTCTTGGAGGCATTTGAGCAATTATCAATATTAAATGTACACACCCTTAGATTAATTATATACAAGATCTATATATATATACTAATTAACAGTGATCTGAAAATGGAACCAACCCAAGAGACTCCATAGTCTGGCTTCAATAAATTACTGTAAATCCCCACCACAGAGTCATATGAAGGCATTTAAAAAATGACAATACAGACTCAGCAACCTGTTTTAGTTCATAGATCCTGTTAATCTGATAAATGCTGTGTATCTTCAACTCACAAAAATGCACATATGCGTGATACTGTGCTATCTCTGAAGTCTACCCATGGCGGATCACAACTTAAAACTTCTTTATATAGACCTTCACTGACAAAAAATGCCCACACTATCCAGATTACTGAGCATCATACTAAACAGAAAAATCCCACAATGTGACTCTCTGCCTGGAGTGTTCACATCTAGCTCCTGACTGGGATCTGGTTACTGGATAACATCAGTGTAGGCCCTGCCCTCCTCCCTTATCAAGGTCTCAGCTGCCTGTTGTCCTTAGTAACACCTTTGTCATATGTTTAGTGATTTATGGGTTTCTGCTACCCACCCATCCCATAGACTGGGCTCCTGAGACCAGAGCCTTGGTCTGTCTGATTTGTTCATCCATAAGCCGCATCCAGCCCCCATTTTTGTGAACCAAATCTGGTCTTTACAGGTGATCATTTGCAATCAATTGATGACAGGAAAAACTAATGTGGAACCTCAAAAAGCATTCCATTCTTCTTATTAACAGACCTATATTTTAAAAACTACTCAATGATTACATTTTTAATTCCACCAATAAAAATGTTACAGACATTTTTCTCTTGGGTTATGAAAGTACCTACAAAGACCCTGGCTGGATAGCTCAGTTAGAGCATCATCCTGATAACACCAAGGTTGTGAGTTCAATTCCTGGTCAGGGCACATACAAGAAACAACCAATGAATGCATAAATAAGTGGAACAACAATCGATGTTTCTCTGTCTCAAATCAATCAATAAATTTTAAAAATTAAAACAGAAAGTACCTACATAATATTCTTGGTTTTGCCTCCTGGCCCACAGATCCTAAAATATTTGCTATCTGGACCTTTATAGAAGTTTGCCAACCCCTGGCCTAAAGCAATATCTGGCATATAGCAGACAATCCCATTGTGTCAAAAGGAGAAATTTTGTAACAATGAAAAGTGTATCTAAAATACATGTACATTAATTTGCATAGAAAAAGTGGCCAACCAAGCATCACCTGACCTCTTAAGAGGGTTGGGTGATGGGATGTCCACAATCTGCCTTAGTTTGCTGCTTCTAGTTATCTTTCCCCACAATTAGCATGTGTTAATTTCATCCTTTTGAGGATGAAAAAGGGGCCACATACTAAACCTGACATGTTCAGGGGAGGCCTACATGGTGGGCCTTAAAAACTCAGAGACCAAAAGTAACGTCATAGTGTGTTCTGAACATAAAAATTCCTAACTAAAGGCAGGTCATGGTGGGTAGTTGTGACCCTGGCCTGTAGCTTCTTTGTCAAAGGTCAATCTTTACCTTAAATGAGACTAATTTTCTTTTTGCATCTAAGATAACATACTTTTTTAATCCTCACCAAAGAATATGTTTTTCTTGATTTCTGGGGGGAGAAAGGAACATCGATGTGAGAGAAACATGGACTGGGTTTCTCCCATATGCACCCCAACCAAGGATGGAACCTGCCAACTAGATATGTAACCTGACAGGGAATCAAATTCTCAACCTCTTGGTGTATGTAACAACGCTCCAATCAACAGAACCATCAGGGGCTAAGATAACATACCTTTGAAATGTCAGAATAATTTTTTTCAGACCCCACCTCCACCCCACATGGCAAGTCCACAACACCTTGAAGACCACAGAACTCCTCAATGTTACCTTGCTAAGGCATACCATCTCTTAAGTGCTGTAAATGTTAACTATCCCATACCCACCAATGTAAAAGTATGTTTATCTATTTTGCTTTTATTCAATCCCAGAAATTTCCCCACTTTGCTTTCTATCACCCCCTTAATCTACCACCAATAGATTTCTTGTAATCCTCTTTACTGCTCCTCCTTTTATTTTAATGTATAAAATAAGCTGCAGAACTGCCATTCTCCAGAACACTTTCTCAATTCCTTGAGATTCTGCTTCCCCACAATTGTCACTTTGGCTCAAATAAACTCATAAAAATTCTCTACAGGTTTGGGCGTTTCTTAACGTCCACGCTCATTTCGGAGTACCATTCACTGTTCCTTTCAGGAAGGTGGGCAGTTTTGCGAGCGAGTCACCGAAGGTCGGCCAGCGGGAGCGGAAGTCCCCACGCCAAAGTTTTCCTTACCAAAGCGTTTGGTCCAGCGAAAGAAACCGAGTGGGAGGATCTTTGGAACCTCGCTAATCCCAGTTTCATCCTCACCAAGCCCTGCGACTCCGGGTTCTGTTTCCACCGCGGGGCTGGCCGGGTAGCCTCCTGGACTCACTTCAGCTCGCAGTCTCCTCACTGCAGCTCCCCCGAGAATGAAATACAAGCCCTGACCTGGGCAAGAACTCCCCAGTCCTCTTGCCCTGCGGAGAACGCGCCCCACCAAGCCCTCGGGCTGCAACGAGGGCATGGGGCGAGCCCTGCCACAGATAACCGCTGTGCAGACCATTCTAGCCCGTCCCGGCGGCGGGCGACAGGTACCCACCCTGCGCAAACGCAAAAAAGCCCCTGCGCCTGCGCATCGCTAGCACCTCTAGCGTGCCTGGCCTCGCGCGGCTTCTTCCCGCCTGCCTCCTGCCCTCACTTCCGGGGTTTCCCGGCGACCGCCGTAAGTAGCGGACGGAAGCAGCCCACGAGGCCCGCCGTAAACGGCTTCCTCGCGCCACTTCCGGCCGGCTTCCACAGACGGCGCAGGTTGGGGATCGAGAGGCGCTGGAGGTCGTTCCCCGCGGCAGGAGCCATGGAGATGCCGCTGCCACCCGACGGTGAGGCCCAGCCCAGGTTTAGGGACCGTTTCTCTCTCCCCCGGACTCCCTGTTGGCCTACCCCGCCTCCTGGGATCCCCGGGCCTAGGAGGGGGCGGGGCTCGGCCTCCCAGGTTCGCCTGAGGCCTCTCCCGCGGGTCTCTGCATTCCCGGCGCGCTTGTGGCCCCTATCAGGACCCGTACAAGGGCGGCCTCTGCGGGACCCACCCCTAGGGACTCCGACCTGGCGGACGGTGGCTAGTACGCCAGGGCCCCCGGATTTGGGCAGTCCTCGCTGACGCCCCGCGTGGCCTTTTCTCCGTTCTCCAGACCAGGAGCTTCGAAATGTCATCGACAAGCTGGCTCAGTTCGTGGCTCGCAACGGGCCCGAATTTGAGAAGATGACGATGGAGAAGCAGAAGGACAATCCGAAATTCTCGTTTCTGTTCGGAGGCGAGTTCTATAGTTACTACAAGTGCAAGCTGGCGCTGGAACAGCAGCAGCGTGAGTTCTCTCCAGCTCTGGCCGCACCCTCGAGCCATTCCTTTCTCTGATTCCAGTGCGGGTTCTTTCACAAACCGCCTTCTTTTGGGTCGCATGCTCTTTGAAAATGGGGCAGCTCGGCCTTCATGATCCCTTCCGCTGTTTTCAGGCCTGCAGCGAGCAGTTGCTGGGTCCGAATATAATGGAGAATGAGGTTATGGATCCTTCTTCTAGGCTCGAGATCAGAGATATTTCTGTTGTTTTGCAGACGTGATGACAGATCGGCAGAGAAGTATTGTGACTGCTTCAGTATTTTCCAGTTAGGAAGTGATAGAGGTTGGATTGGGACTCTCGTTTCAGCCCCTTTCCAGCCCCCTTGCACTTCGTGGGTCCAGCAAGGTTTTTGTTCATTTTAGTTGCTTGAATTCCAAATCCAAAAAGAATTGTCTCTCTGGGTTTTAGTTATTGGCAGATACTTATTAATGTTTACTGGATTGAGCTTCAGGATTCTGGTCCTGCCCTCAAAGGGTTTAAGGTGGAGTTAGGCATCACAGCTGGCCTTTGAATAATAGTCACCAGGTGGTATGGTCCCACATTTGTCGTGTTAAATAGTAAATTTCTAGCTTCTAAATGTGTAGTTTGAGTAGGGGATTGCTCAAGTTAATGGGCATCGAAAACAATGTTTGCTGGACTAAGCACCAGACCTTGTTTTGGGTCATTGTTGTGCCCTAATATGGAGTACATAGAAGTAGTGTTCACTAAAGAATTTGTAATAAACTGCTGTGGTGCAATGGCTTGAACAAGCCTGGTGTGTTTCATATCCATGAGAGAAGCCATGAGAGGCCCAGCATGGCTGAAGTATAAAACATGTCTGGAGGAGGGAAGCGTTTGGTCTGGAATGGAAATCCCAGGGGAATGTTTGTGTTTTCTCCCTCAGTTCAGGGGTTCTTGTGCATAGTTAAGTTTGAGATTAGGGTGAGGATCAGCTTCCTAAAATTATAGGCCAAATGTTATATGTGCTTACATGTCTTTGGAGCAGTTACTTCTTAGCCCCTGCACACCAAGTTTAAAATCCCTGCTACAGGTAGTGTGAAGCCACGGGAAACTTTGAAACAAAGGAGAGAAGGGTCAGGTTGGTGTGGCCAGTGTGGCAAGGCTGTGGGGAGCAGGAGTGAAGGCTGGTACCATGAGGCCAGCAGGGGAATGAACAGAGTACTTGATGGTAAGGTCTGAATTAGGTCAGTGGGTTGAACCTAAAGGACTTGGTCTGGGTGGCAGGTGGGGTTAAGGGGTCAAATCCATGAACTGGAGCACCAGGTGGATATTGTTGGTATAACCAGGCAGGGGAGAGCAGTCCTTTGGCTGGAGTGACCAAGGGTGAGAACATCCCACCCTGTAGGGTCAGAAATCCATGGCTGGTTGGGACTTAGTGCCGTAATGCAGGAAGGATAGGGTACTCCTAGCAGAGGAAGATTGGGGCTCGTGAAGTGCTTTCTGCACTTCTAGCTAGGATTAAAGAATGTATCAGAGTTAGCCAGATGGAACTGGAGGAGTGAAAAGTGTTCAGGCAGAGGAAAGCATCTTAGGAGAGGCTGAGGAGTGGAGGGTACAAAAACTCAAGATGGCAGAAGCCCAGAAAAGGAGGGGTTCTTGGAGTAGCCCAAAGTGAGGGTGCAGAGTAGGAAGGGGTGGCCTGCCAAGGACTTAGTAATTCTGGGAGCTTTGGAGTTCTTTTTTTTTTTTAATCCTCACTCGAGGACATTTCTCAATTTTTTTGTTCAGATAGAGTGGCAGGGAGAGACAGAGAGAGAGAAACACCGACGTGAAAGGGACACATCAAGTGGCTGCCACCCACACGACCAACCAGGGCAGGGGACAAACTGCAACCGAGGCACGCGCCCTTAGCCGGAACCAAACCCCAGGTCTCTCTTTACCGCAGGCCGACTCTCTAACTTCTGAGCCAAACCAGCCAGGGCTGGAGATCTTTTAAAGGTTTGGTTTCAGCTCTGTTCTAGAGAAGGATTAACCACTGTAAAGAGTGAAACCCTGGACTGTTCTAGAATGGCATTTTGCAAACTCTGGTGAAGGGACCCGTGTTTGTTTTTTAAAATTCCCATTCTATTGTAGAAAGTACACTTTTGCAAGGTACAGTAAAAATGTGAGCCATGAAACATCAAATTACTAAAAGTGTTAAGCGCTCCCTTACCATTTCTGTTTTCGTTCAGTCTTTGTATCACCCGACTGGTCCTCAGACCACACTTTGAGCAGCAGCACTATAGTTGCCATGTGGAGGGGCAGGACTGGACTTGGGGAGACCAGTTTCAAGGGTGATAACAGGTGACAGCAGAGTTGTGACAGTGACGACAGGGACACAGACCTGAATGTGATCTAGGAAACTATCAACAGCATGGGTTGACTTGTTAGTGTGAGGTTCAATGGAAAGAAGAGGGTTTGTGCCTTCTAGGCTTCTGGCTTGGGTGTGTGGGCACAGCCATGCCAGCCACCGAGATCGGGAGTGAGGCCTGGTAGGGTGGAGCATGAGGCTAGAGGACATGCATGCCTGTGTGAGGTGCTTGTGGAAAGCCGTGGGCTGTTTATAATTAGGTCCAAAGCTCAAGGAATCCAGGGTGAACATGATAGATTTAGAGTCACGGTGTGCAGATTGTAATTGCAGCCGCAGGAATATATCAGCTTCCCCTAGGGGCTTCAGAAAGAAGACAGCTCTCGCATCCCAGCATTTAAGGGTCAGAGAGAAAGAGGAAAGGGCTCAGGAGGGGGCCACACAGTCTGAGTGAGACAGAGACCTGAGATAGCCATCAGGCTGAATAAGGATGTCTTCAGAAGCCATGGGGGTAACAGCGGGGATGGGTGGGCAGAGCTAGACTTACCCTGGGCTGAGATAAAAGGGAGATGAACCTAAGCGGAATCTTGACTATAAAATTGTTGTAGGGGGCATGGGATTAAGGGAAAGTTTTTTAAAACAGAAGACAGGTGTGTTTGGGGGCTGCTGGGGAGGAGTCATTAAGAGGGAGAAAATGAAGAAATGAGAGTGAGAGAACAGATTTGCTGAAGTGTCTCTGAGAGGGTGGAGGAGGGTGTCCCTGAAGGTGTCCTTGGGTGCAAACACCAAAAGGCTCAACCAGACCGAAGAAGTGACTTGGTGTCCCATTATGGGCCCTGGGGAACACCCTTCGCCCCATCTATCTGTCTTTGTCCAAAGGCCAGTTTCCCTTGGAGAGGGATTCAGGAGGATTCTAGCAGTGCATGGTCATGGTCATGTTCAGACCAGACAGGGCCCAAAGGCTGATAGGCAGACCATTTTGTTGAGTGACCCTTCCACAGAACCCCCTGTGCCCTGCCACCCAAATTTCTATCCCTTCTCACCTGGCTAGATTTGGGGCACACACCCACCTGACCTGTTGCCCTACCAGCAAGATGGTTGTCTCATGCTGGCTCATTCTGGATTGGCTCCTGAATTCAAAGGAGTCCCTTTCCCCAGAGTCAGGAGAAGGAAATCAAGGGGCTGGGAGTGATGGGCCACAGCATGTACTCGGGGTGCTGGCCTGCTCCACAGGTTTCTGGGCTCTCTTGCTGAAGGTCAGGTGGCTTTGATGTCCTGAAAATGAAGAGTATATTGGGGCTGGTGGCAGAAGACGCTGGGGAACTAGGAGAGATGCTCATGGGGGCATGCCTGTGGCCTGAGGAGTTTAGCATCAGCTCAGGCCTAGGTGAGGTGAAGAGGGTGGAGGGGGATGGGTTCGGGTTTGGTCTGTGCTAGAGGACACTGGGCAAGAGAGTGTTGGCAAGAGTGGCAAGGTTACAGTCCTACAGTCTCCAAGGAGAGTACTGGTACAAAGGCAGAAGGTGGTGGATTGGACAAGGGAAAGAGGGCTGCATCTAGGCACCCGGGGGAATGGGGGTAGTGCAGGAGGGGCAGGCTGAGAGTGAGGGGAGCCTGGCAGACTTTGGTGGGGGCATGGCAGAGACAGGGTGTTTGGCTGCAGCACTGTGCAGAAGTTCTCTTATAGATGGTGAGTGTAGGGAAGGGAGCCCCTGTGGCCTACAGCTGCCCAAAAGGCAGCTGAGGGGACACCTAGACCCCAGCCACCTTCTCATGGGGCCACCTTTCTTCCTTTCCTGCCAGTCATCTGCAAGCAGCAGGCCCCAGAGCTGGAGCCGGCCGCAGCCCTGCCACCCCTCACACAGCCCCCGCTAGCCCCTGCTGCACCCATCCCACCTGCCCAGGGAGCCCCTTCCATGGATGAGCTCATCCAGCAGAGCCAGTGGAACCTGCAGCAGCAGGAGCAGCACCTGCTGGCCCTCAGACAGGTATGGGGCCTGCTTCTCTTCCCTCCCACTCTACCAGCCCTAAGATGAGTGCCCTGAATAGACCTAGGGCCCTCCTTCCTCCTCTTCATCCTAAGGTGAGTATCTGGAGCTCACTCCTGTGCCTCAGTTTTTGTATCTGCACATTGGGACTCACAGTAGCTGTCAGGACTCATTACCAAGCATCAATGCTGTGGACAGTGCTGCCACTACCCGTGGTGTGTTTAACCTGATTCCTGACTGGACAGAGGTTGCTTCTCATTCCAGTGACATCATTGCATAAGCTGTTCGCTGAGGTGGACACCTATGAGTGGGACTGCACGTTAGAAATTGTGTAATAGAAAATGTCATGTGGCCTTTGGTGCCATTGGTACCAGTTCTAGCTAGCCAGGTCACTCCAACCTGTTGTGAGGAAGTACCCTTCTTTCCTGATCCATTACAGTTCCGATACTTTGGCCAAATATAGTAGGATAAATCACATGGAAAGTAAGATGAATAAAAAGTAAGACATCTGAAACACTGACCTCTGGTTTGTTAACTATATTTAAAGTAACTGTCATATTGCTGACAACAAAACATGCCAGATCACTCACCCTCAGTTATAGGCTGGGAGGTCCAGCCTCTGCCAGCCCTGAGCTGACTGCCTGTATCTGACCACCTGACAGCCTCTGCTAGATCTCAGGAGTTTCTCAGTTTGCCAATCTAATAGGCAAAACTCTGGCATCCTGTTTTAGTTTTTGACTCCCTGCTTACTAGTGAGATCGTTCTCCTTTCTCCTGACTAGTGACCATTCATACGTCCTCTCTGTACTGTCTGTTCGCATCCTTGCTCACTTTTTTCTTTCTGTTGAATTGGCCTGCAAAGGTTTCTTATTCCTCTGGGTCTTAATCATTTTGCCTGTCACCTGGGGAGTGGACATTGTCTTCCCCTGTGTCTTGTCTTAGTGTATTCTTTGCCTGCTCTGCCTGCGAGGGTCATGACTGTCTCAGGTGTGGGTCTGAGGCTGTGGACATGAGGGATGGGGGCCTCCTGGTGATGTCGTAGGACATTGACGGGCATTCTTGGTCCCACCTGGCCTCCCAGGAGCAGGTGACGGCAGCTGTGGCCCATGCAGTGGAGCAGCAGATGCAGAAGCTCCTGGAGGAGACCCAGCTAGACATGAATGAGTTTGACAACCTACTGCAGCCCATCATTGACACGTGCACCAAAGATGCCATCTCGGTGAGGGCAGGTGGGACTGGGTGGGCTCGGTGTTCCCTGAATCTGGTGCTCCTGGTGGGTGGGAGCCCACTGAAGCCTGACTGGGCCAGGACTACTGTAAAGATGCCCCATCTACTCTTTTTTTTTTTTAGAGAGAGAGGAAGGGAGAGAGAGAGATAGAAACATTGATGTGAGAGTGAGACATTGATCGGCTGCCTCCTGCACACCCCTTACTGGGGATTGAGGTTGCAACCCAGGCTTGTGCCCAACCTGGAATCAACCTGGGACCTCTCAATCCATGGGATGATGCTCAATTTACTGAACCATACCGGCTGGGCATCCCCATCTTCTCTCTCCCTTTCTCCTGAGCACCTCCAAGAGAAGGAGTGAAGGCAGACAGAGTCTGTAGCGTGTGGCCAAGCCCTTGGGCACCACACCCTTGGCTATGTCCTGACCTCCCCGGGCACCTGCCCATGCTCTGGCTGGGGGAGCCCATCCCTGCTCACCCATCCCTCTGTCTTGCAGGCCGGGAAGAACTGGATGTTCAGCAATGCTAAGTCCCCTCCACACTGTGAGCTGATGGCAGGCCACCTCCGGAACCGCATCACAGCTGATGGGGCACACTTTGAGCTGCGGCTGCACCTCATCTACCTGATCAATGACGTGCTGCATCACTGGTAAGGGCCTCTCAGGCCCTGCTTGCCTTTCCTCTCCTTCCAGCCTTCTCATGGCCACTGCATTTTACTCAGTAGCTTGGCCTGTCTCAGGATGGGGGTCATTTGTCTAGAGACCCTGGAAGAGGGTCAGTCTACAAGCCCTTCCCCTACCTCCCCATGCCTCAGCCTATCCCTGGACCCCTCACCTCATCTAGGGCTACTGTTCCTTCACTTCTTGCTCTCTTGGGGCAGCTTCTGGTGTCTTTCAGAGTCTGTTGGCTGCCAGCTCCCCCTCAGTGATACACATACACACCCTCAGTCACCTGACTGCCTTGCTTCATGGTCCTTGATTCTGGGTTCCCCTTGCTGACACTCTGTCCCATCCCACTGAGACCAGTCCCCCACCCCCATAGCCCTCCCTGGGGGAATGTTTACCTCTGCCTGACTCTTTGGGGCCTCATGACAGAGGTAACTTAAGGAACCAGATGTTTGGGCCAAGACAGGCCCTGGGAGGAGACAAGCAAAAAGAAGTGCTGCTAGTGAGTCTGGTGTGTGGCTGCTATGTTTGGCTTTGAGCTTGGCCAGCTGAAGGGTACAGTGCTGGTGAGGGCAGCAGAAACTGACCTGTCTCCCTTGGTCCTGTGCCTTGACCTGTCTTCCGCTGGGTCCCTGCCCTCCCCTCACCGCACTCAGCCACTCCCTACATTGTCATTCCCTTATTTCTTGTGTAGAGAAATAAGCAGCTGCCTGGAACCTTCCCTCCCTTCCTGCTTTACTCACCCCTCTTCTGACTCCAGGGCAGCTCTGCAGAAACAGCCCTGTCCTACGTGTCCTCCTGCCTGGACTGCTCTCCCTCCCCTGACCCACTTCTGACCCCAGGCACTCCCTCTTTCTGTGAGTTCCCTCTGCTGAACTCCTTGTTGGGAGAGGTTCCAGCCACTTGCCTTCTGCCTCGTGCCCTCCCCCCAGGATGCTGCAGATGCACCATCTGGGCTCTGCCACCACCATGCTGGGGGCCCCATGCCACCTCAGTGTACAGCTGCAGGAGCCTCTTTACCCATTTATGCTCAGAGTGCCCCCCAAAGGATGTAGGGGCAGGCTGCCTTGTCCTGCCAGTCACAGGTCCCCAACGCTGGGCACACTTGGCACACTCCTTCTGCCTCCTGAAACACGTAGCCCAAGTCGGGGATTATTGTGCTCAGCGGATCACAGTGTTGAGCAAGGCCACATAGACAAGGCCCTGAGCCCACAGCAGCTCTAGCCTGTCCTTTGTGGATAGTGGGGCTCTCACAGGACTTGTGTCTGTTCATTCTCATGCCACCCCAGGAAAAAATGGTTATTTTATTAACAAGGAGATGGGGGTAACAGGCTTTCCTCTGAAGGTCCCCAGCCTATGTTTTTTTCCCTCCTACTGCTGTCTCAGTCAGGCCCAAGTGCCAGCACAGGTCTTGTGGGGAGCCCAACCCTTGTCCCAGCCAGGTTGGGGGCCCATTCCCTGAGAAGGCAGAGGGTGCTATGGCTGGAGCCGCGATGGTAACGGGCGTGTGGCCGGGTCCCACCCCAGGGCCCTGACGCGCGGAAGGTCTCTCCCTCACAGCCAGCGCAAGCAGGCCAGGGAGCTGCTGGCCGCCCTGCAGAAGGTTGTGGTGCCCATCTATTGCACCAGCTTCTTGGCTGTGGAGGAGGACAAGCAGCAAAAGATCGCCCGGGTATGTGGCGTAACCTGGAGGGGTAGGGTAAGATGGGCAGGGCCTGGGGCATGTTCTTCCCCCTGACATGACCTCACCTTCTCCCCACATCCAGCTCCTGCAGCTGTGGGAGAAAAATGGCTACTTTGATGACTCCATCATCCAGCAGTTGCAGAGCCCTGCCCTGGGGCTTGGCCAGTACCAGGTGAGTGCCACCATCTCCCGAACTACATCCAGGGCCAGGGTGGACACCACCCCAGCAGTTTCCAGAAGTCAGGGAGCCCACCTCCCTCACTTGCGCTGGAAATGGCTGATGGAACAGTGACCTTAGAGCCCAGGTACCTTTTTCTAAACTGGGCTCCCACGTGTGCCTCTGGTAAGCATTAGGATCCAGGGTCTGAGCAGCAGTTTTGGGGACCCCTGTTCCATGCACAGTGAGGGGTGAACCCTTCCAGGGGAGACTTTTTCTGATGTCCTTGTGATCCAGTTTCCCAATTTAGACCTTGCTCTCAAGGTGTCGTTGGCCTGTTTGCACTGGTGTCATTGGTCCCCTGGGCACAATTAACACGATGGAAACATGAGGAGACCTCAGTATAGTCTAGATTGCCGTGGCCATCACCTTTTGCAGTTAGTGCTCCTTGTGCACATGTCTGCCTCTGCCCAGAGGATGGGCACAGGGCAGAGAGGGTCTTCTTGGTCCCTTCTGCCATTGCACCAGTATCTTCTGGTGCCTTAAATGTAGTTTCTGGAAGAAAAGGCATAGTTCATACACCTTTTCTCAGGCTGGAAGGCCTGGCAGAATGTCAGGAGCTGCGTGCAGGCTGCTTCCCTTGGTGAAGGTCCTAAATACCATCTTCCCCACAGAGGACAGGCTCTCATGCTCAGAAACAAATGAGGGAAGTACATTTTATACTTTCTCTACATTTTACTCACCTTTTCTTAAATTAAATAAAATTGGGCTCCTATCACCATACAAGTTATGCTAACTGCTTTTTTCCTCGAGTTTGATAGCTCATGTTTACTAAGCCCCCACCATACTAGTCCTTTCCATGTGTCATTCACTGACTTCTTTCTGAAATCTTTGGAAGTTGGTCCTAGTGTTGTTCCATTTTGCAGATGAGAAAAATTGAGGCTCAGGGAGGTGGTAACTTATTCAAAGCCAGGCAACAAGTAAGCACAACCCATGAGCGTGTCCTGGAATGTTTGTCAGTGACATGTTTGAAGTCTGCGTGGCTGTCTAGAGCACAGCTATCATTGCCTGATTCCATTATCGGAATTCTAACCTGCACTGCTTGTAACCAAGGTTTTGACTATATTCAGATGCTCTGGTTGTCAAGACCAAGTTGATTGGTTTACATGAGTCACCTGCCAGCCTACTCCAGGCCCCTGGGCCTCACTGCCCATGGCAACACCCTGACTTCCCAGTGCTTTCCCAGCATTTGTCCCCATGCTGCTCCAGAAGGGGTGGGCCCTGGGCCTCGAGCACTAAGTGACACTGCCCTTCTCGCTCTGTCAGGCAACACTTATCAACGAGTACTCCTCGGTGGTCCAGCCAGTGCTCCTGGCCTTCCAGCAGCAGATCCAGACCCTCAAGACACAGCACGAGGAGTTCGTCAATAGCCTGGACCAGCAGCAGCAGCAGCAGCAGCAACAGCAACAGCAACAGCAGCAGATCCAGATGCCGCAAATGGAAACTGAAGTCAAGGCCACGCCACCACCACCTGCCCCACCACCAGCCCCCACGCCTGCCCCAGCCATCCCGCCAACCACCCAGCCCGGTATATGGCTCCCTCTGCACCTGCTCTTGGGGGCCAGCCCCAGAAAGCAGCCTTCCCCCAGAGAAGGGCTCTGGTTTTGTAATCATAGGCCAGATTCTAATCGGTTTAAAGTGCCAGGCTGGGGAATTTCATGTTTAAATGTAACAAAACTTTTACAACTCAGACAGTTCTCTATAAACTGCCCTAGAGTACTGGCAGAGGAAACTGCCCAAATCGTTTTCTGAGACCAGGATAACTTTCTCATCAGATGGGCAAGGACAGGGCAAGAATTGCAAATATAATCCAGGTTTACTTCTGAATAAAGATGCAGAAATACTAAACAAAATCTTAGCAAATGAAATCCAGCCAAGTATTTTTATTTTCTACATTTTTTTTTTGTTAATCCTCACCCAAGGATATTTTTCCATTGATTTTTTTAGACAGGGTGGAGGGGAGGGAGGGAGGGAAATAGAAACATTGATGTGAGAGAGACATATCGATCGGTTGCCTCCCACGTGACCCCAACCAGGACCAGGGAGTGAACCTACAACCTAGATACATGCCCTTGACTAGGAATCAAACCTTTGACCCTTCCGTCTTTGGGTTGATGCTCTAACCATTGAGCCAAACCAGTCAGGGCCAGTCAAGTATTTTAAAAATACATTATGTCCAAAAAGAATGTGTCCCAGAAATGTATAAGGATGGTTTAACACTTTAAAAAAGTCTAATAAAATAATATTAAGTAGGAGGAAGTGATGTTTCAGTTTACACAAAGGTAATAAAATTCATCAATGGTAAAAATTTTTCAGCAAACTGAAATCCACATGGCAGAAGATACTTATTGTAAAGCTTTCAGAAAAGAATTATGTATTCTGTGTGAAGGTAGTCTCCCCTTTCTGACTGTCTTCCCAACAGTGATTAGTTTTCATTGAGGTCATGAAACAAGGATTTATCGAGAAATAAAACCCAGCCTGCCCTGCCTGGGTATTCGCTGGAGACCATTTTGGGTGGTACCTCCTGCTGCTGCAGCCTCCACTAATTGCCTTCTTGCCTGGCTCCAGATGACAACAAGCCTCCCATCCAAATGCCCGGTTCCTCTGAATATGACGCCTCAGGAGGGGTCCAGGACCCTGCAGCCACTGGCTCCCGGGGCCCTGGGCCCCATGACCAGATCCCACCTAACAAACCCCCGTGGTTTGACCAGCCTCACCCCGTTGCTCCTTGGGGTCAACAGCAGGTATTTCTTACTGGGGCAGGTGAGCATGCTTGGGCTTAATGGGACTGGATACAAGGGCAGCAGGCAGCCTCTGCGAGGTGGGGCTTTGGCAGCTTGTTGGGAGACTTGAGGCTGTGCAGCAGAGTCTGGGCTGGGGGCGAGGGTATGATAGCCCCATCTTCCCAAGGTACAGGGGTTGGGTAAAGCAAGAAAGGGCTTTCCCTCTGTCACTGGTGCTTTGATTGTTTAGGATTCTCAGTAACAGGTCCTCATTTTCCTGTGAGTGCTAGGAAATCCCATATGGTTAAATACAGGAGGGTGCTCACTGAGCTAAGTGTCAACATCTTGTCACTCTGGAAATAATATGGTGCTTTTATAAGAAAAGGGAAGGTCACAGGTGTCAGACTGGCAGCATTTTCTGGGACTGAGATACTGGTCACTTCCTCCTATTTTCTTGGGGTCAGAAACTCGTAGGCAAGGGCAAGGGTCATCTCATCCAGCATAGCATCACTGGGAAGCTCACAACAGGGTCACCTCACCAAGGGTCTGTCCTGGGTTGGTATTCCATAGTCCGAAGCCATGGCCTGGCAATGCACTTAACCTGGCCTGCCCATATGATGTCTTACACATTTTGAAATAGTTGCCATATTTAAAATCTGGCTTTCTGGCTTCCTGAGGGTATGGTGGTCTCGGCTGGCCTCCTGGTGGTAGTGGTCAGTAGCTCCAACAAACCATGATCCTAGAGATGGGCCTTGTGGTCAGCCCCACCTGGACACATCCCTCCCTGGCTCTGAGTTTGGGTTGTAGTCCAGCTTTAAGTCTTCCAAGCATCAGCTGGGTGAAACCAGAGCTTATGTTGTTTTTAACCTATAGAAACATGTTTCCTGGGGTGGACCTAGGAGCAGACCCTGAGATAGGAATTGAGAGCAAGTAGTTTATATAGGAGATGAGCCAGGAGACAGCACAGAGTAGAGGGGGAAGTTATGAAAGGGAGTGTCTTCAGGGTAGGTGGCCCCCTGGGGCTCAGCTACTCTGCATACTCTGGAAGCGGTGGGGGAGGCACTTCGCACTGTCCACGAAGGGTGTGCAGGGGTAGGGGGCATCCAGATGCTCTATAAGTGGGGACTATGTGTTCAGCCAGAGGAAGTCCTCGGCCACAATGTGGGTGCAGCAATTAGGAGTTGGGTTATCTGCATGGACATAAGGGGCCAGTGGTGGGGCAGGCACCACAGCATACACTGTACATGTCAGTAAATGAGGTACCATGGCCGGCCCAGCCCCAGGCAGCACGCAGTGGACCATCAGCATATAGCACTGGGCAATTCGGAGGCCAGGTGTCTGGGGTGCTGGGTGGGCCTCAGGAGTGGCTCACGACTGTTCTTTCTCTTGCAGCCTCCCGAACAGCCTCCCTACCCACACCACCAGGGCGGGCCACCCCACTGCCCACCTTGGAACAACAGCCACGAGGGCATGTGGGGTGAGCAGCGCGGGGACCCAGGCTGGAATGGCCAGCGTGACGCACCCTGGAACAGTCAGCCCGACCCCAACTGGAACAACCAATTCGAGGGCCCCTGGAACAGTCAGCATGAGCAACCGCCCTGGGGTGGCGGCCAGCGAGAGCCGCCCTTCCGTATGCAGCGGCCACCACACTTCCGCGGGCCCTTCCCACCCCATCAGCAGCACCCGCAGTTCAACCAGCCACCACACCCCCACAACTTCAACCGCTTCCCGCCCCGCTTCATGCAGGACGACTTTCCCCCAAGGCACCCCTTCGAGCGGCCACCCTATCCTCATCGCTTTGACTACCCCCAGGGAGACTTCCCTGCTGGTGAGTGTTTTTGCATGTTAGGAGGCCCGGTACACACAGCCCTCTCCTGCCCCTGGTTCCTGAAGAAGTCCCGGTCGCCTGCCTAGAGGAGGCCTGACAGATCGGCCTCCTGAGCAGGCTGATGGCACTGCTCTTGGTCTTCGGTGTGTACCTGATGTGCCCTGAGTCTAGGTCACAGGCAGAGGGTCGTGGGATGACAGAATAGGCTGGTGACTCAGGTGTCAGCGCTGTCCCACACCAGCGCGGTTCCTCCCCTCTTGCTGCATTGGCTATAGAAGTGTGATACCTTGGTCCCTCTTCCCACATACCCAGGAATAGGGCATCGTCTCTCTGTCCTGCAGAGGAGAGAAGACAGACTCCAAAAGGAAAAGTAACCCCCAAGTACCCACAATGGCAGGCAGTCAGTTGGCACCAGTTCCAGCTTGGAGATCTCTTAGCAAGTTTATTGCTTGTGTTAATATCCTGGGGTGACATGACAGAGTCCCACAGACTGGGCCGTTCTAGCAACAGACATTTACTGTTTCCCAGTCTAGAGATAAGGTTAGTTTCTTCTGATGTCTGTCTTCTTGGTTTGTAGATAGCCATCTTCTCCATGTGTCCTCACATGGTAGTCTCTCTCTGCCTATGTCCTAATCTTATAAGTCATGTTGGATGGATCAGGGCCCAACCATGTGGCTTCATTTAAGTTAATCATCTCTTTAAAAGTCCCATTTCCAAATGCAGTCACATTCTGAGGTACTGAGGGTTAGGACTGGCAGTGAATTGGGGTGGGGGTGGGGGTATAGTTCCTTCTTTAACCTGTGAGGTCCATCAGGTGTTGTGGGTGGGAGGACAGGCCCCTCCAAGCCTCAGTTCCTCCCCTCTTGCTGCATTGCCTAAGCAGTGAGTGAAGCAGTGGGTGACAAGGTGCCATATGGGGCTGCCCAGAAAGTGAGTGTTGGCATTCTTGCCCCTCTCTGAGCCCATGTGCTGGCACTTATCACTCTGGAATCATGCCTGAGCCCTTGGTTCCACCCAGCTCGTAACTTCCCTGCAAGCCTGAGACAATTTTCTGTTTTGCAGAGATGGGACCCCCTCACCACCACCCTGGCCACCGCATGCCACATCCTGGGATCAATGAACACCCACCCTGGGGGGGGCCCCAGCACCCCGACTTTGGTCCTCCTCCCCATGGCTTCAACGGGCAGCCCCCCCACATGCGGCGACAGGGCCCTCCCCACATCAACCATGATGACCCCAGTCTGGTCCCCAATGTTCCCTACTTTGATCTCCCCGCCGGGCTGATGGCGCCCCTCGTGAAGGTAAGGTCTGTGGTGAGTGCCAGGCTTAGCATGCTTGGGCTGGTGCCTCTGTCTACACCTGAACAGTTCACAGATGAAACTCATTTCCCATAGGTTACAAAACATTGCTTCCCCAGACCACTTCCCCTCTCATTTCGCACTCCTCAGTGAACCTGACTAAGCTAGTCTGTAAGCTAGTCCATGTTCCCTTGTTCCCTCTGCACCTTCCTCCTGGTACTGTGGGTTTGGTGCTATTTGGGGCAGGCTGGGTTGGGCATGAGGCACAGGTCCTCTCATTACTGGCCCTTGTAAGCCACTTTATCCAGGGGTAGATGGCAGGGGGATTTTCAGGAAAGGGGCAGCCTCTGGGATGTGCCTTTGTGGAACTTGGGAGTCTGCAGGGACAGGGCTGGGGGGGCAGGGGGTCATGTGAGGGATGAGGTGAGCAAGGAGCTGGGGCTTCAGGGCCCCTGCTGGTCACTGCCCCTTCCCATGCCCTCTGAGCCAAAGAGGCAGAGGGGCTGGCACATGGGCTAGTTCCTGAGCTCCTGGTCGGGCTAAGGCTGCCATGACTGTGGGAGGGCCTGAAAGGGAGATGACAGAGCACTGGGTAGACATCAGGGCACAGGGTAGCATCTGCAGGTAGGGCATCTGGGAATCACATAGTATGAAGGAACCAGGGGCTCTTTCCATCTCCTTAGTCTGGAGGCCACATCTTGTGTGTACATTTTATGGAGAAAGACTTTATGGCTTTTATCAGGCTCAGAGGGGGTGGGCCTTCCTAAAAGGGCAGGATGCGCACCCTGATGTCCAGGGGAACCTGAACACTAAAGCAGGGCTCTGTCTCCTGCCCCCTTGCACCCTCAGCCCTCTGGGTAGGCCTGAGGGGGGCTCCAGCAAGGTGTGGTGACAACTGTGTTTTCCATTGCAGCTAGAAGATCACGAATACAAGCCTTTGGACCCTAAAGACATCCGTCTTCCGCCTCCCATGCCACCCAGTGAGAGGCTGCTGGCAGCCGTTGAGGCCTTTTATAGCCCTCCTTCCCATGACAGGCCAAGGAACAGGTACGGGGCTTGGGGAGACCCAGCAGTGAGGCCAGTAGTGGGAGGGGAGTCTCTACCCCATCTCCCAGCCTGTCTTTCCCCAAGTTTGATGCATAAGAAAGACTACTACCAGCCATACCTCTGCCCAGCATGGTGTGAGGCCCAGGTAAGGAGTGTGGTGTCTTTAAGAGAAATCACCAGCTCAAGTTAGAGGGTCCATTTCTCTCCTGACTGTAATGTTACACACAGTGGCCCTTGATGAAAGGTTTTTCTACTTGGGACACATTGGAACAAGAACTTATCTCAGACATGGAACATTTCAGAAGGGGCTTAGTACATACCCAGGCTCTGTCATGGGTCCTTTTCAACAGCCTTATCACCAGCCCAGTTGAAATTTCTTCCTGTCCTTGTGACATACACAGGTGTTCCCATCTATGAGTTAGAGCCCCTGGTTCTGTTATGATGACCACAGGCCAAGAGCTGGGTATATGGCCCAATCTCTCCACTTTCCTGCAGGTCTCCCAATCTCAGCCTGCTTCCTCATCTACAAAAGGGTGTCCCCATTGAAGTGACCACCTGAGTGCTATCTGTGGTGGCACGTGCTCAGCATCCTGAGTGAATGAAGGAGGGGCTGCATGTTTCTGAAGGCTTTTGGGGGTGGGGGTTGGCTTGCTCCATTTTGATGAGCTTTCCCAGTGCACTGCAGGAGGGAGGCTGTTGTGATCACATGGGGATTGCCTATCTTACAGTGAAGGCTGGGAGCAGAATGGCCTCTACGAGTTTTTCCGAGCAAAAATGCGGGCCCGACGGCGGAAAGGCCAAGAAAAGAGGAACAGGTAAGGGCATCCCCACTGACTTGCATGAAGTCATCATGCCTCCCCGGCCGTGTCTTGTCATGAATTGGCTTAGAGTGAACTAGACACACTGTTCTGTCACACCCTAACATATACCCCATCACATGTCATATCCAAACATGTGACATCACCCTCAAACACAGGCAGAGGAAGTTAGGTCTATCCTGGGTCTTAGGTCTGGCCCACTATGATAAAGGTGCTAGGAGCTGTTCCTACAATTCTGAGCTAAGACTTAAAACACCAGCATAAGAGAAGTTTGCTATGGTCTGTATTCATCAAGCTTTTTAGGAACACAACACCCCATTGTGAATGGTGTGTCCATACCCCAACATATACTCCTGTGGTATTCCTGAAATCTGGGGTAGGGGTGGCAAGTTCAGCCTGTGTGGGAGCAGGAGGTGCCAGCTCCAGCTCACCAGCCTCTCCCTGCAGTGGACCATCACGGTCTCGGAGCAGATCCAAAAGCCGAGGGCGCTCCTCTTCTCGCTCCAACTCGAGATCTTCCAAGTCATCTGGCTCATACTCGAGGTCGCGGTCACGCTCCTGCTCCCGTTCCCGTTCCTACTCCCGTTCCCGCTCCAGGTAGGCAGGTACCACCTCTCAGAAATCTGGGCCTGAGGCTTCCCATGGCTGCCAGGCTGATCTGCAGGCCTCTCCCCTCCCCTCTTCCCAACAGGAGCCGTAGCCGATCCCGCTCCTCAAGAAGCCGCTCGAGGTCCCGTTCCCGCTCCAGGTCCAAGTCATACTCCCCAGGGAGGAGACGTCGGTCTCGGTCCAGGAGCCCCACTCCGCCGTAAGATTTCTGTCTTAACTGTCCCGTGATCGATCCACTGGTAGCGCTGGAACCTCTGAGGTTTTGCTGTGAATGTTATATGTGTCATTAGAAGACATTCCCACAGTTCGTGACCAATGCTGGGCAGTGACTCAGGGACACCCAAGCATTAGTACAGTGACAATGGCACCTTCTCCTCTCACGTCGTGGTCTTATCTTTTTGTGGTCACATTGTAAAGCCTGGGGTGGTGGCTGGGCTCTGTGTTTCTGTTTTAGGGGTTTGATGTGACCTACCCTTGCTGCACACTGTGGAGCAGGGGCAATCTTAGGGAGCCCCCTTATCTGGCTGGCGAAGAGGATGAAGAATGGTTGAGACACAGTGTGTGTATGTCCATCCTACACTGTGACCTTTCACATAAGCCACACCCTGTAATATCCTAAGCGTTTTCATTCCAATAAATGTACCTGCTCTTTTTTAAAAGACGTAACCTGTCTTAATTTTAGTTCCTCGGCTGGTCTGGGTTCTAATTCAGCACCTCCTATACCTGACTCCAGGCTTGGGGAAGAAAACAAAGGACATCAGATGCTGGTGAAAATGGGTAAGGTTCCGGGGAAAAAGAATGACTTGGTTTGGGCTTTGGGATTGGGGTTGATTGAGTCAGAGGAAGATCCAATTCACCACCGTTAGCTTTGAAAAAGGGCGAGCCTGCAGGTTCTGCTGGGCATTCTTACTTTATCAGCTTTGTCTTCATAAATAGTATTTGTGCATATTACTCACCTCCCCAAATCCATTCTTACTTTTTTTTTTTTTTTTTTTAATCCTCATCCGAGGACATTTTTCCATTTTTTTGTACAGACAGCGTGGGAGGGAGAGAGAGGAAGAGAGAGAGAGGGAAACATCGATGTGAAAGGGACACATCGAGTGGCTGCCACCCACACGACCAACCAGGGCCGGGGACAAACTGCAACCGAGGTACATGCCCTTAGCGGGAACCGAACCCGGGTCTCTCAGGACTGCAGGCCGACGCTCTAACCGCTGAGCCAAACCGGCCAGGGCTCCATTCTTACTTAACTGTGTCAGGGCAGAGGCACTGGACTGCAGTTTTTGTAGGTTGTAACTACTCTCCCCTCTTTCTTCCTAAGGCTGGAGTGGATCTGGAGGCCTGGGAGTGAAAGAGCAAGGGATCCAGGACCCCATCAAGGGGGGGGACGTTCGGGATAAATGGGACCAGTACAAGGGTGTGGGCGTGGCCCTGGACGACCCCTATGAGAACTACCGCAGGAACAAGAGCTACTCCTTCATTGCCCGCATGAAGGCCAGGGACGAGTGCAAGTAGGTGCGGTGAGGAGCCACGCCAACCGCCGGCAGCTTGGCATTTGGAACCTTCCTGGCTTATTGGCTGTGGAAGATGGTAGGTCTCACACAGCCTCCATCTTTGGGGAGCAACAGAAGAGAAGGACAACCACAGCGCATACCTAGTGACCAGTGCCATGCTCTACCATGGGAGGCACAGGCCCCTCCTGTAAACCAGCTCTAATGTAGAAGCAAGATGCATATGAGAAGACACCCTGAACTCATTCTCTGGACAGTGAAGTGAGAGGCATGAGCCCCTCACCCCCTGGACAAGAATCTGCACCTACCATATATGTCGTGACAAAGCTCAGGCCAGGCGCTAGTACTGCTCACTCTTTAAAAATGGAAAAACAAAACCTTGATTTGCAATGTTAAACAGGGTTTTCATTTTTACTCCAAATGGTTTAGTTTTTAAAAAAAAAAATACTGATCTAAGATGATCCTCAGTGGGATAATTTGAAACTTGATTCCTCCAAGACATACTGACCCTTAGTTATTTTAGTTAAGTTGAAATTTTTTTTTTTACATTAGGCATTTGCTATTATCTCCAGAAACAAAAGGATCCAAGGAGACAGATCTGAGGCATCTTCAGGTTATAGAATGATGCCCATGGAGGACCTGTGCCCTTAGTGTCTACTTGTGTTTTTCACATAAAGGAACCCCAACACCAGCACTTGTGTGCAATGGTCCACTCAGACCCAGTGTGGGGAGGAGCCACAGGCCATGCCTCCTGCTCTGTCCCTTCCTTTTCTTACCCACCCTCCTCCAACCACAAAGGTAAGGTCTGGAGGGAGCCACAAGGTGACCATGCCTAGATCGTTTGCACCTGGCATCTTTAGGCAGCGGGGGTGTGGTGCCATTTGTACAGAAACATTTTTGAAAAATTCTTTTCAATAAGATGCAAAATCCTTTTCGACCTGGTGTGATAAAATATTTGATTTTGTTCTAGGTTTCCTGTAGCTGTGAATTGTTTAAATGCGTCTGATTCAGGATAACGCATAAACGTGCTGTTAACAATTTGTTGTGGGTTTTACTGTTTTGCCTTCAAATAAAGACTTTTTCATAAAGACCTTTTTTTCTGTGTGCTGACCTCAGAAGTGTGCTCAGGTTCAGTAGGGAGGAGGTGTGTCTGAATGTGGACTTTTGAGTTATAGGCTGAAGTCAAAAGCTTGGCCTGGTGTCTCAGACTGGGGTCCCCTGCATGGAACCCGGGCCTTGTGTCTCTTCTCACCATCTACCTTAGCTTGTTAGGAAGCCAGCACCTGGCCAGATGGAGCCATTTCATGGGGCTCCAGACAGGCTGGCCTCCTCTGTCTTGCCATGAGTGGTAACATCTCCACGCAGCTTCCATTTCCATTGGGTTGTGGTCTGTCCTCTCAGGTGCCAGTCACTCTAAAGAGGTAGGGGCTTGCAGGGGTCAACTTCTCAGCTAGAAGAGGATGGAGCTGGGATTCTACTCAGGTAAGTCCTGGGTGCCACCTGCCCCCCTCACACGTTGAATATCCCCTGGACACTGAAGTGTCATGGCTGGAATACTGGATCAGCTCATTAGATCAGACCCACAAGTCTAGCCTTACCTGGTGCTCACAGTTCCTTCTTCACCTCCTTCAGAGCTTCCTCCATGGTCAGTGGAGCGGGCCTGTGGTGCCTGATGTACTGTGGAGCAGGGGACAGACAGGGACATGTCATCACCCACCTCAGCCTACTGAGGCTTTGGGTGCTGAAGATAGTGCCTGTCCCCAGCAGTTCCTGGTCAGGCTGACGAAAGAAAAATGACAGGATGCCATGTGAAAATGCCGTGGAAACAGAAAAGATGAGCCCTGGCTGACTGGCTAAGTCTGAAAGGTTGAGTGACTGCAGTCACGAAGAACAGCCTGGGTGCCACTCTCAGGACATGGACACAGAACAGGCAGCAAGGAGCCATGGTGGGCTATAAGCAGGTAACATGATCAGATCACTTCAGCTCGTGTCCAATCAACTGATGGACATCCAACAGAGGAACAAGAAGGATCCTATAGGGTGCAATCAGCAAAGTCTGGAATGTGGAAGACTGTCAGACAACCTGTTTTCTTCAACAAACTACAAGAAAACAGATGGGAGGGGGGAGATGTGTAGAGTAGTCAGTGGTTCTTAAAGTGGGTCCCCAGTGGGCCATTCTGCCAACAACCTGGGGAGTCACAGACTTGGGGGTAGTATGCTGCTCAAGCCCAAGAACTATTGTTCCAGATTAGGAGGCTAAAAAGACAGAAGACAATCTAGATATATGGACTGTGTCGATCCTGAGGAAAAAATGTTCAACTTTTATGAAACAAGTGGAAATCTGAACCCTGGATATCCAACAATATGAAGAAAAGTTAATTAGGTTTTGGTATGATAATGGTATTGTGACTGTTTTTTAAAAGTTCTTATTTTTTAGAAATACATACTAACCCTGGCCAGTTCTGCTCAGTGGTTAGAGCATTGGCCCGCAGACCAGAGTCCAAGGTTCAGTTCCCACTAGGCACGTGCCTCAGTTGTGATTCGTTCCTGGCCCCGGTTGGGGTTGTGTGGGTGGCAGCCAGTCAATGTGTCTCACATTGATGTTTCTCTCTCTCTCTTCCTCCCTTCCTCCCTCCCGCTCTATCGAAGATAAATGCAAAAAAATGTCCTCAGGCGAGGATAAAAAAAAGAAAAAAAAAAGAAACACATACTAAAATACTGGTAGATAAATGATAAAAATCATCAGAACAGTTCATATAATATGATGCCATTTCTTTAGAGAAATATACATATCCTGGCCTGTGTGGCTCAGTGGTTGAGCGTCAACCCATGCACCAAGAGGCCACCGGTTCGATTCCCATTCAGGGCACATGCCCAGGTTGTGGGTCAAGTCCCCGGTGAAGGGACATACAGGAGGCGGCCAGTCGAAGTTCTCTCTCATCGATGTTTCTCTCTCAAATCAATAAAGAAAAAAAAAAAGAAATATACATAGATGCCCTGGCCCATTTGGCTCAGCAGTTAATAGTGTCAGCCCAAGGGCCGAAGGGTCTTGGGTTCGATTCCCAATCAAGGGCACGTACTGATTGGGGTTGTGCAGGAGGCAACCAAGTGATGTGTGTCTCTCATCAATGTTTCACTCATTCGTTCTCCCCTCCCTCTTTTCCACTCTAAAATATCAATGGAAAAATATCCTCAGGTGAGGATTAACAAAATAATACATATACATATTACATAGAATATACCTATTACATGGTAATATATTTATATATTGTATATGTAATATACATAATGTAGTTCATATTTTACATAAGAAAAATGTAAAGAATATATCAAATTGGTAATAGTTATCTCTGAAATTACAGAGGACTTTATAAAGTTACATCTCTCTGTAACATTTTTTTTTAATCCTCACCCGAGGATATTTTTCCATTTTTGTTCAGATAGAGTGGGAGGAAGAGAAACATTGACGTAAGAGGGACACATCGACTGGCTGCCTCCCACACGACCCCAACCAGGGCTGGGACCAACCGCAACTGAGGTTCAAACCCGCAACTCTTTGGTCTGCAGGCCAACACTCTAACTGCTGAGACAAACTGGCCAGGGCTCTCTGTAACTGTTTTTATAAAATAACAGATTTTGTGCAATCAGACAAAATTTTGGAGGGAAAAAGGTGAGTGTGACATCCCTTGAGCTTCAGCCCATAGGACTGAGAAGGGAGAGCACAGCTGGGTGGTGCTGGGGAAGAATCTGTGAAGGGACAGCACCCCTCACCAAGGAGGCCCCCCCTTTGGTCCGAGGTCACTCAGAGCTTCGCCAGGTTGACTGTCAGTGCCCCTGACCCAGACCAGCTTTTATCATGGACCAAGAGCAGTTTCATCCTGACAGGACAGACAGAAGGTGACCAGGCCCACGCATCCCTGCTGCCCTGGGCTGAATGCTGTCTCCATGGTCAGAGCCCTGTCTGCCCTCCCTCTCCCAGGACGGGGTAGCTGTGTTGTAGTCACCTCTTTGGCTTCCTCCAGAGTGTGGTAGTGGAACGAGTCTCGGTCCAGGGACTGCAGGAGGGACCCATGCAGATGCCGGCTGGCCTCAATGAACTGCTGTGTCAGGATCAACTGCTGCTTAAGCATGTCATTGAGCGCGAACACAGCTGGGCTGTAAGCTGTCAGGGCTGCCCCCAGCACCAAGTTACTGAGTGGTCCCTGGGCCCCTGTTCCCCCACCAGTACCCTCATCCTGTCAGCGTCAGCTGCTTTGGGCCCAGGTGCTCTGCAGCCCCCACCCCTTTGGCTATGTCTAGATACTTTCCAGAAGCGATGATACCTTGGGAAGTAGTGAAGGCCTCACCTATTCAGTGTCTGTCTCTAGTAAATGAACTGCCTTCTACTGCCGTGTGTGAACCTCAGAGCTGCATGTCTAGAATGCTCAACGCTTAGGTAGAAACAGAAGTCTTCCTTCACTTCCACATCCAACACAAAGAGAGGTTAGTAAACTGACACCCAAAATGTGCAATTGCACAATGTGAATCTATTCACTACTGAACTGTACACTTAAAAATTGGAAAGAGGGACCTGGCTGGTTTGGCTCAGTGTTTGGAGCATCAGCCCATGGACCAGAGAGTCACAGGTTCGATTCCAGGATGCAGTTCCATCCCCGGCCCTGGTTGGAGCCATGTGGGAGGCAACCAATCAATGTGTCTCTCTCACATCAATGTTTCTCTCTCTCCCTCCCCCACCTCCTTCCCACTCTATCTGAAGATCAATGGATAAGTATCCTTGGGTGAGGATTAAAAAAAATAAAAATAGCCCTGGCCGGTTTGGCTCAGCCATTAGAGCGGAGGCCTGCGGTCCAGGGAGCGGGTTTGCTAAGGGCATGTACCTCAGTTGCAGTTTGTCCCCAGCCCTGATTGGGTCATGCAGGTGGCAACCACTCGATGTGTCCCTTTCACGTCGATGTTTCTCTCTCTCCCTCCCACTCTATCTGAACAAAAAATGGAAAAATGTCCTCGGGTGAGGATAAAATAAAATTAAATAAATAAAATTAAAATTAAAAATGGGAAAGAGGCCCTGGCCAATTTGGCTCAGTGGTTGGAGCGTTGGCCTGCGGACCAAAGAGTCCGGGGTCAGTTCCCACTAGGGGTATGTACCAAAAAAACAAACAAACAAAAAAATGGGAAAGAGGGTAAATTTGATATTATGCATTTTAAACATGTAATTAAAATAAAATTTAAAGTTTTAATTAAATAAAAATACAATTAGAAATAAAAACTGCAAGTGTTAAAAGTGACCATTATTAAAGCTACATAGTAACATGGAAAACTCTTTGAGATTAATGTTGAGTTTTTAAAAATATTTTGTAGCTCCGACTGGTTTGGCTCAGTGGTTAGAGCGTTGGCCTGCGGACTAATGAGTCACAAGTTCAGTTCTGGTCGAGGGCACGTGCCTCTGTTGCGGTTTGTCCCCGGCCCTGGTTGGGGTTGTGCAGGAGGCAACCGTTCGATGTGTCTCTCTCTATCTGAAAATAAAATGGAAAAAAATATCCTCAAGTGAAGATTAAAAAATAAATAAAAATACTTTGTAGACATATAAACTTTTCATTTGTTACAATCAGTATATTTTAATATCCTCATATTTGTAAAATGTTAAGAAAACTAAAATGGGAAAAAAATAGCAGGTACTAGACGTACCCTTGCTGGTATCATGCGAGCCATCAGTGGTCCCATGAGACCTGGCAGAGTCTGGGCTCTCTAAGGGAAAGGCTTTTTTTTTTTTTCTTTATTGATTTTAAAGAGAGAGGAAGGGAGAGGGAGAGAGACAGAAACATCAATGAGAGGAACACTGATCGGCCGCCTCCTGCATGCCCCCCACTGGGGATTGGGCCCACAACCTGGGCATGTGCCCTGACCGGAAATCGAACCGGCGACCTCTTGGTGCATGGGTTGATGCTCAACCACTGAGCCACACCAGCCAGGCAGGAAAAGCCTTTTATGTGACTGTTGAGTGTCTTCCCAGTGCCTTTCCCCCTGCCCACCCCCCCAATCCCAGGCAAGGATGGGTCTCCCCAGGCCCCACAACTCCCCCAGACTCAGCAGGGAGGCCAGGGCCCTGTCCACCTGGCTGGCTGCCTCACAGTACTAGCTGAGTGTCTTTCTTCAGAGGTAAAATAAATATGGATTCTGGATTAAAAGGCTCAAAAGGGTACATAACAAATAAAAATGGCCACCGCCTTAAAGGTATGTTACTTATAACCTCCTTTTGTACAACAGTGGTGTCCTTTGGTGAGAGAGACTAAAGGTCCTTAGACACTCAGTTTGTTGTCTGAGATCCTAGGAACTGCAGCAGCTGCCTGTGGCTGTGACAATCTCTCCCAACAGATTCCTCCTCCCAGTGCTAAAGAGGGCACCACACTTTCAACGGTGGTTGTGAATTTCCCACTTCACCACGAGAGCCCGAGCTGGGCTGTTACCTTCTATTGCATCTGCGCTGATAACATGACTGGCAATGGGTGCGGGGTCCACGTAGGCACCTCCCAGAGCTGGCCCGATGGTTGCCATACCAGTTTCTGTCCCAAGGAAAAAGGGGGAGGGGGTGAGTGGCAGGATTTGGAACAATGGCTGCTGTATGACTAAGCACCCCACTCTAAATGAACTGGTCAGGGAGAATTACTCCCCCTTGCACAGTCCAGGAACAAGCTCTGTCTATGTTGTGGGTGTCATCTAGATGAGACAAGGAAGCAAGACACTGTTTAAAGAAAAGGGAACTCACCCCGGCCAGTTTTCTCAGTGGTTAGAGCATAAGCCTGCGGTCCAGAGAGACCCGGGTTCAGTTCCCGCTAAGGGCATGTACCTCGGTTGCAATTTGTCCCCGGCCCTGGTTGGTCGTGTGGGTGGCAGCCACTCGATGTGTCTCTCTTGCGTCGATGTTTCTCTCTCTCTCTCTCTCTCTCTCTCTCTTTCTCTCTCTCTCTCTCCATCCTTCTCTCCCTCCGCTCTATCTGAAGATAAGTAAAAAAAAAAAATCCCCATGCGAGGATTGAATGAATGAATGAATGAATGAATGAATGAATGGATGAATAAATAAATAAATAAATAAATAAATAAATAAATAAATAAATAAATAAAGGAAAGGGAACTTTTGTCCAGAAGGACCAGGGCTGACACTGGGGACAAAAGAAATGTCTGGAAAGTTACACTGGGCATGATGAGAAGGGGCCCCTGCACCACAGAAGAGAATCCACCCAAACACCCCAAACTGAGACAGCCAACTAGTGGCAGCCCTCAGAGACCCTGTACTGGGCCCCATGAGCCGCTTGAAGATGCACAGTCTCAGGAAGGCAGACTCTGCTTCAGTGCTGTCCCCAGGCTCATCCTGGCACCGCTGACATCTGGGGCCACATCACTCTCTGCTGGGGCTATCCTGGGCACTGCAGGATGTTGAGCAGCATTCCTGTCCTCCGCCCACTAAACTGTATCCCAGTTGTCACAGCCAAAAATGGCTCCAGACCTTGCCAATGTCCCCAGTGGCCAGAATCACCCCAGTTGAGAACCACTGCCTTAGTCTTTGATTCTGGAAACTTTCATAATGTTTGAGAACTTGGAAGAGAAGGAAACACCCAGGCAGCTGCCCCTCATCGGTGGAAGAGGAAACCAGGACGCCGAGGTCCTGCCAGCTAGTTAATACCGACAGCCAGACCTCCAGACACTGGAGCTTCTTTTCATGCTCCAAGGACAGCCCCAGTGCACAGCCTGAGTGCCTGTTCCTGCCGCCATGGCCTGCACCTCCCTCCCCAGGCACTCAGGTCACACACTCACCCTTCGTCCACTGGTATGTGAAAGTGGGGTCAAGGGTCTGCACAGCCTTCTCCTTCACCATGACTCTTGTAACACCCCGGGTCCACTTTTTCGGAGATGTACATGTTGGTGGGGGATGGTCTGTCTTCAGGCTCAAAGACTCCTCAGAACGGGTTGTTGACTCTGATGCTGTCAGAGTTGGGGATTTCTCAAAATCTTCCGAATAAGCCAAGCTCATCACGCTGGCCACAGGTTCCTCAGACGTCGGCCCCAGGCTGGAAGCATGCTGGGGCCCAGCAGAGGAGGCTGATGTTTCACTCAGATGCTCTGAGATCTCGCTGCCAGTCGGGGGGCCCCTGGCCCAGGGGCTTTTGCGGGATGCCTTTTCCTTCTGACCTCCTTTCTGAAACGAAGGACAGCAGAGATAACCAGAATGTGTTTTCAAATGATGAACATGCACCAAATACTGCTGCCTTAGAATGAGGTGCAAGGTACCCCTAGGGGCCCAGCAGGTGAGGGTCCCCATTGGTCCTTCATTAGATTTGGGTAGATAGAGTGGGCCTCTTGAAATGTCAGCACAGGGCTGCTGCACTCAACACTGATGGTTTGAGTATGTGAGGGGAACACAAGGGTGAAATCTGTTCAAGCACCATTATTGTGTATTGTTAAAACATGCCTTTGAACCCTGGCCGGTTTGGCCCAGTGGTTGGAGCATCGGCCTGTGGACCAGAGAGTCCTGGGTTTGGTTCCCGCTAGGAGCACGTACCAAAACAACAACAACAACAACAACAACAAAAAACATGCCTTTGATAGTGAGGTGGTCAGTAATATGACAAGAAATCACAACGGGACACTGGAACAAGTCAGGCAGGTGTTGCTATGGGGCGGTTTAAATGGGACCCACTTTAGCCCAGCTGGCGTGGCTCAGTGGATTGAGTGTCAGCCCATGGACTGAGAAGTTCTGGTTCGATTCCTGGTCAGGGCACATGCCCAGGTTGCGGGCTCGATCCCCAGTGGGGGACGTGCAGGAGGCAGCCGTTCGGTGTATCGCTCTCACATAGATGTTTCTATCTCTCTCTCTAAAAAAATCAATAAAAACATATTTAAATGGGACCTATTTTAATTGCCTCCTGTATTGACTTCATGCTGCTATCACCTAAAGTCAGGGTCTCTCCTGTGGCACTCAACATTTTTTAAGTCTCGAACGTTCTTTGCAGCAGGGGCTGTCTTGTGCCTGCAGGGCACTGAGCAGCACCCAGCCCAGCAGCCACCAATTCCATCAGTAACACACCCCTCCCCAGGCATGACAATCAAAAATGTCTCCAGACATTACCAAGTGTTCCCTGGAGGCACAATCACCCCAAGTTAAGAAATGAAGTATAACAGTTGCAAGCCTTTCTATGTAATAACCTATAATGAAAAATTTGATAGTTGAACTTACTTTCTGTTCCAAGTCTGATTTCTTACTGACAATTGGAGCCAGATCATCAAGGGATAAAATATTTATTCTAAAATCTGTAATTAAAAATGTAACATGATAATATTTACTCATTTATTTACTCCATAAATGTTTGTCATCATGTTGCAGGCAATGAACTATGTGCTAAGGACAGGATGATGGGAAGACATGCCGTCCCCGTGCTCAGTAAGCTAGTCCAGGGGGTCTGCACACATTTTCTCTAAAGAGTTAGGAAATATTTTTGTCTTTGAAAGCTAGACTGTTTCTGTACCAACCACTCAGTTCTGTCCTTATTGTGTGAAAGCTACCAAGGGTAAGGTATAAACAAATGTGCATGGCTGTGTTCTGATAGAAAAATTATTTATATAAACAAACACTTGGCCTCCGGGGTCCTGGTTCAGATAGATGAGCAGACAATCACAGTGCAATGAAGGATGCATGGTGACAAGTGTGCTTGAGGTCTGAGGGTGGGAGGGGCACTCCAGCCCTGGGGGAGGTGGAAGAAGGCTGCAGGACCTAGTGGAGAGGCACCTCAGGCAGATGTGACTGGGCCTGATACATCCTGTGTTCTCATTTAAAGCAAGTTAAGGATATGGGAGCTGACACTGAATTAGCATTTTGGCATGCCAGCTGGCCAACTGCCAAAGCCTGACGCTGTGGGTGCTAAGGACTATTAGCAGGAACAGATGGGAGCAGGGGCCCTGGGCAGGAGGCAAGAGCTGGAGGTGGGAGGGAGAAGAGCACACTGCCCATTCTCTTTGGGAAGGCCAGCTGAAGGGCTCTGTCCTGTGCACTTCTCCACCCATCCATCGTGAGACTTGATCCAATCCAGCCTGTGTTCTAGTCCGAGGGCTCAACTCCACCTCCGAGCTCCTCCAAGCTCCTCGAACACTAACCTAACCGTCATCTCAATTCACAGGTAGGTGCAAACATGCGCTTATGGACGAAACCTCTGAATTAAGCTATCTGAGCTGGCCCCGGGCAAAGGCCCCAAGGGAGATTACGGACTTGAGCACTTGGAGCAGTGTCAGCACTGGCTAAGACATAATATTATCGTCACATCAGCCAACCCTTACACACATGCACTTCCTGTGAAGCAGTGCCAGCTGAGAAACTTCACATGCAGTAGCTCACTGAGCCCTGGCCCATTTTACAAATGAGGAAGCTGTGGCACAGAAAGACTGCACAACCAATAACCAGCAGGGCAGGATGTCCATCCCAGGTATGTCAGACCCAAATTCAGACTTGTACTCACCACTCACTCCCAGCTGCCTCCCTCCCTGGAGCCTGCATCTGGACGGGAAGGGGGGGGGGTCTGGCCACTAAGAGAGGCCCCTGCAGGCCAGCAGTGGGGTCAGATTGGTGAGGACACCCATTTAGCAGCTCCTCATGCCCAAGGATCCTGACCACCAGGCGCTGAGTGGCATTTGGCAGACGGCAGCCCCGAAGGGGCTCACAGAGGTGTTCTCATATCCACAGCCTAGACCTCGTCCCACTTCATTCTCTGACCCTAACCCAACCTGGGCAGATAGGAGGGGTGGACCTTTGTTAGCAGCACTTCTCCCTCACCCACCTCACTGGGGTGGCACCACGGCATATTGAATATTTCACGCTGAAGGAATCTGAGAAATGGCAGGGGCTGCAAAGACTCTAACCTCCTCCCTGAAGCAGGTGGAAGACCCTTCTGTGAGAGGAGCCATTCCTCTACCCAGAGGAAGGGAGCACCCCCACGGCCAAGACAGAGGGATACTGAGAGGAATTCCAATGGGCACACTGCTCAGCATCCCCGTTTACTGCCCTTAGCTCATTTCCTTTTGTCCTGTCGCATTTCTCCGGACCTCTATGTTCCTCATCAAAACCTAGCACACACAGGCCCAGGCTTGACAGTTCCTTCAGATCTTCATTTCCTTATGGAGGCTCCCACGTCACGTAAAACTTACATTAAATATATATTTACTATGTGCATGCTTTTCTCCTGTTTATCTGTCTTTTGTTTCAGAACCCCGTAGAGAACCTAGAAGAGGAAAAGGAAAAATCTTTCTTTTCCTCCCCCCTTCGACTGATTCACAAGTTACAGTCACCCAGCACCTGGGAGTCAGGGCTGGCATTTGCTTGTCTTTGTGCAGGAACACAGCAGGTACTAAAGACACAGTTATTTAGTTTAGATTTGAGCCCAGCCGGTGTGGTTCAGTGGACTGAGCATCAACCCATGGACTGAGAGGTCCCGGTTCAATTCCTGGTCAGGGCACATGCCTGGGTTTCAGGCTCGATCCCCAGTGGGGGGCATGTAGGAGGTAGCCAATCAATGTATCTCTCTCACATCGGTGTTTCTATCTCTCTCTCTCCCTTCCTGTCTAAAAAAAAATCAATTAAAAAAAACATATATTGCCCTGGCCGGTTTGGCTCAGCGGTTAGAGCGTCAGCCTGCGGTACAGAGAGACCCGGGTACGGTTCCCGCTAAGGGCATGTACCTCGGTTGCAGTTTGTCCCCGGCCCTGGTTGGTCATGCGGGTGGCAGCCACTCAATGTGTCCCTTCACATCGATGTTTCTCTCTCTCTCTCTTTCTCTCTCTCCCTCCTGCTCTGTCTGAACAAAAAATGGAAAAATGTCCTCGGGTGAGGATAAAAAAAAACACAACAAAAAACCATATATTTAGATTTGAAGATGAAGCTCCCCAGATGGAAGAAATTCACATTGGCAGCACATCTCTTTCCCTTCTCCTCTTTCTTCCTTTTTTTAAAAATCCTCACCCAAGGATATTTTTCCATTTATCTTCAGATAGAATGGGAAGGGGAGAGACAGAGAGAAAGAGAAACATTGATGTGAGAAGGACACATTGACTGGCTGCCTCCCTCACGACCAGGACCAAGGATGAACAGCAACTGAGGTACGTGCCCTTGACCAGAATCAAACCCACGACTGTTTGGTCCGTGGGCCGATGCTCTAATGGCGAGCCAAACTGGCCAGGGCTCCTCTTTCTTTCTTAAACACATATAATTTAAAAATAAAAATGTTAATGTGTAAGTAATAGAAATGTTTCATTGTAACTGGTTAGAGATGTGATTTCTTTTCCAAATTTAAAAAGGAAAGGAGGCAGCCCTGGCCACTTTGGCTCAGCGGTTGGAGCATCGGCCTGCGGACCAGAGAGTCCTGGGTTCAGTCCCCGCTAGGGGCATGTACCAAAAAAAAAAAAAAAAAAATTGAATAAAAAGGTAAGGAGGCAATTTCTCTTTCACAAAAAAGGAAAATTGAGTTGCCTTTCTTTTGCACATGGCTCTAGAAGGATTTCTAGAAGGATTTCGGGTTATTGCTCTGTAATTGGTCAGTGTTACTGGATGAAGAGATTAAAGACAGAACACAGCCCTGGCCAGTGTGGCTCAGTGGTTGAACATCATCCCATGCACCAAAAGGTCACGAGTTTGATTCCCAGTCAGGGCACAATACCCAGGTTACAAGTTTATCTCCAGTTAGAATGCATATGGGAGGCAGCCGATCAATGTTTCTCCCTCTCCCTTCCTCTCGCTCTCAAAAATCAATAAAAACCTATTTAAAAAAAAAAAAAGATAGAATAAAAATCTGACTTGGTCCCGGAGATCAGGAAGTTGAGGGTGCGACAAGGCCTTCCATGCACTTCCTGTGACAACAGTCTGTGACTGCCACACTGGGGACCCTAAAGGTGGCCCCACCTTTTCTGCTCAGGGTGACACCTTTGCACAGGGCTGTGAGTTACCATTTAGGCTGTTGTCCGAGTCTTCTGAGAGCGACTCCTCCCCAGGCCTGGCCTCACTCCTTATGGGAGAGGACGAGAGCCTGCCATGTGCCATCCTCAAGGGTACTGACTTTGACACAGCGCTGGTGATGGAAAGTGATGACACCGTATTGGATGCTGTGTCCCCTGGAATGTGAGTCTGTGGGGAGCGAGCTCTTGAGTGCACGCTGCGAAGAGTCCGGTCTGCTGACTGGAAGGTTGGCAGATGTGATGTTCCAAGTGGCTTTGGGCTGAAAAGTTCCTCACTGGGTAGTGAAAGGAGTTTTGGTTGAATTGGGATCTGATCCTACTTTGGCAAAAATAAAAGAAATAAAATTAACAAATGTGTGATAAATAAGTCCTTATCATTTGACAATGTGGCTAATAGGGTGCATGAGACAAAGGCTTCCTGGATCAGATATTTATCCCTCAGCAGCCCTTTCTCTTCTCTCCCCTCATTTCCGGAAGTCAAGGTACAACGTTTAGATAAGATAATGTTGGAATTAGAAATATTCTATAAATAATCACAAACATCACTTTGCCTTCAAATACATATTGTTAATTACACATTTCTAAATGAGGGCCCCTGAGTACATGATCTAAGACAGCTTGGACCTTCAACAGAACCAAAATGAATATGCAGAAGGTTTTCCCATAAAACAGAGCCTTCCCAATACTTAGCATCCACTGGTATAGCTATAATCAAAAAACAGAAAATAAGTGTTGGTGAGGATGATGTAAAGAAGTTGGAACCCTCATATACTGCTGTTAGGAATGTGAAATAGTGCAGCTGCTGTGGAAAACAGTTTGACTGGTCATCAATAAATTACACATAAAATTACTGTAGCACCCACTAATTCCACTCTGAGGTACATACTCAAAAGTACTGAAAACAGAGACTCAAATACTTGTATACAAATGCTCATAGTACCAGGGATTCACAATGCCCAAAAGGTAGAAACAACCCAAATACTCATCAATGGATTATGGATAAATAAGGTATGGTCCAGCCACACAGTGAAATATTATTCAGCCATGATAAGGAGTGAAGCACTGACACACGCTACAACATAGATGAACTCTGAAAACATCATGCTGAGAGAAACTAGACACAAAAGGCCACATGTTGTAAGATTCCATTTAAATGAAATGTCCAGTATGAAGAAATGCTCATCATCACTAATCATCAGAGAGATGCAAATTAAAACAACAATGAGGTATCACCTCACACCTGTCAGAATGGCCGCCATCAACAAACAAATCATCAAACAACAAGTGTTGGCGAGGGTGTGGAGAAAAGGGGACTCTAGCACACTGCTGGTGGGAATGCAGACTGGTGCAGCCACTATGGAAAACAATATGGTGTTACCTCAAAAAATTAAAAATTGAACTTCCATTTGACCCAGTGATTCTGCTTCTAGGAATATACCCTAAGAAGCCTGCAACACCAATCAGAAAGAATATATGTACCCCCATGTTTGTAGCAGCACTATTTACAATAGCTAAGATCTGGAAACAGCCCAAGTGTCCATCAGTAGATGAATGGATAAAAAAGCTGTGGTACATATACACAATGGAGTACTATGCACCTATAAGAAAGAAAGATCTCTTATCCTTTGAGACTACATGGAGGGACCTGGAAAGTATCATCCTAAGTGAAACAAGCCAAACAGAGAAAGACAAGTATCATATGATCTCACTTATTTGTGGAATATGATGAATATAACAGTCTGAGGAATGGGGTAGTCCCACAGACGTGGAAGTGGGGTACAGACTGACAATCCCCAGAAGAGGGGGTGGTGGGGGAGAGATAAACCACAGAACTTATATGCATGTGTGCATGAACAGTGGACATGGACAACAAACTGGGGACGAGGCAGGGAGGGAGGAGGAGGGGGGAATCAGTGGGGAAAAAGGAGAAACATCTGTAACAAAAATTTTTATCTGTAATAAAAAATAAATAAATTGAAAAAAAAAAAGAAAGAAAGAATAATAAAATGGTATAATTTTGAAAAAAATAAAAAATAAATAAATGAAATGTCCAGGACAGGCAAATCCATAGAGACAGAAAGCAGATTAGTGGTAGTCAGGAGCTATGGAAGGGTGAAATGGGGAGTGATTATTTATGGGTACAGGGTCAGCTTTGGGGGTGATAAAAATGTTCTGGGTCCTGGCCAGTAATGCTCAGCAGTTAGAGTGTCGGCCTGCGGTCCAGAGAGACCCAGGTTCGGTTCCCGCTAAGGGCACGTACCTCGGTTGCAGTTTGTCCCCGGCCCTTTCACATCGATGTTTCTCTCTCTCTCTCTCTTCCTCCCACTCTATCTGAACAAAAAAATGTCCTCGGATGAAGATAAAAAAAAAATTGGGATGAAATTCAATTAACTGCCCTGGCTGGTTTGGCTCAGCGGCTAGAGCGTCGGCCTGCGGACCAGAGAGTCCTGGGTTCGGTTCCTGCTAAGGGCACTTACCTCAGTTGCAGTTTGTCCCCGGCCGCGGTTGGGGTCATGCGGGTGGCGACCACATGATGTGTCTCTCTCACGTTGATGTTTCTCTCTCTCTTCCTCTCTCCCTCCTGCTCTATCTGAACAAAAAAATAGAAAAATGTCCTCGGGTGAGGATAAAAAAAAGTTCTGGAACTAGATAGAGGTGGTGGTTGCAAAACATTGTAAAAGTACTAAATGCCACTGAATTGCTCATTTGAAAATGGTTAATTGAATTTCTTTCTTTTTTTTTATCCTTACCCAAGGACATTTTTGCATTTATCTTCAGATAGAGCAGGAGGGAGAGAGGGAGTAAGAGAGAGAGAGAAACATCAATGTGAGAGAGACACATCAAGTAGTCGCCACCCGCACGACCCCAACCGGGGCCGGGGACAAACTGCAACTGAGGTAAGTGCCCTTAGCGGGAATCGAACCCAGGACTCTCTGGTCCGTGGGTCGACGCTCTAGCCGCTGAGCTAACGCTCTAGCTGCTGAGCCAAATCAGCCAGGGCAGTTAATTGAATTTCATCCCAATTTTTTTTTTTTATCTTCATCCGAGGACATTTTTCCATTTTTTGTTCAGATAGAGTGGGAGGAAGAGAGAGGAAGAGAGAGAGAGAAACATCGATGTGAAAGGGACACATCGAGTGGCTGCCACCTGCACGACCCAACCAGAGCCGGGGACAAACTGCAACCGAAGTACGTACCTTTAGCGAGAACCGAACCTGGGTCTCTCTGGACCGCAGGCCAATACTCTAACTGTTGAACTATACCGGCCAGGGCCCCAATTTTTAAAAATGGAAACGCAGCCTTGGCCGGTTTGTCTCAGTGGTTAGAGCGTCAGCCTGCAGTCCAGAGAGACCTGGGTTTGGTTCCCGCTAAGGGCACGTACCTCGGTTGCAGTTTGTCCCCGGCCTTGTTTGGGTCGTGTGGGTGGCAGCCACTCAATTTATCTCTTTCACGTCAATGTTTCTCTCTCTCTCTTCCTCTCTCTCCCTCCTACTCTATCCGAACAAAAAGTGGAAAAATGTCCTCGGGTGAGGATAAAATAAATAAACAAAATAAAATAATAATGGAAATGCAGTTTCCCAACTGAATGATTTCTGTGTGGTACAATGACAAGTAGACATGGATTGCCTATGGCATTATTCACTGCCAGTGTTCAATCAGTCATACAAAGTGCTGTCCTGTGGTGTACACAGGTACAAGTTATTGCAAAACCGCCTAATGTGTCCCAAATTCCATACCCTACAGAGCAAGCCCACAATAGGTAGCTGTGACTGCCTAAAATCTAACTTTTCATCGTCAAACCCTTTTCTTAGGTAGCTTCTGGGTGATGGCTGCTATCAGAAGTCTCCAGTGCTATGACATAAAGGTACAAATGCAAAGGCTTTGTTAAAAATAAATACATGCAAACCTTACCGAGAATAGTTCTATTTGTTCTTTCTCACTGACTCTGGTACTGGTGATACCCTGATTCCTGCGGGTTTCTTTTTCTCTAAAAGATTCCATCAAGCTTCCCAGAAACTCTTTCATTTCCTCTTCATCACTGTCTGGAGAATCCAATTTTCTAATAGGTTCTTTTTCTTTGGGTATTGAAAAATTTCTCTCTTTCCCAAAATGGGCTTCAGGGGACAGCTTCTCAACAGGTGGCTCTCTCTTCTTTAGAAACCTACTGACCTTCCCGCTTGACATGTTGCTCTCAGTGACAGGAATTTCACAGGCCTGCTTGTGGGAGATTTTGTCTGTATTCTGTGAAGAAAGTGCAACTGTACTCCTAGGAGGAATTTTGTCTGCTCTCCTGGGAAGATTGTCCTTGGAGGTCTTTGGGTTGGATTCCATGTCAGACAGGTCCATCTGTACCTTCCGATTCATGATCCTGGATTCGATCTGGGCTAGCTTCCTAAGTGCAGTGCTGGTCCTGAGCTTTGAGGCAGTAGTAGGGGGTCCACCTGAGGATAACCAGGGCCCACTCCCCAGGCCAGCATCCTCTTTTGGGAATAAGTGTTCTTCACCCGTAGTTTGGCTTCTTTTTAGAAATCTGCTATGACTGGAAGCTCTTTTGGTAAGATGCCTACTGATATTCAAGTTTTTTATTTTTTCCATCTTTGAATCTTCTAAGGAAATATCATTGAAATCACCAAAGATATCATGCATGGGGTGGTTTTTTTTTCTTGTTGAAGCCATTCTAGGGAGGAAAGAAAGAAGACTTATCATACGCATACCTGGTGTTCAAATAATACATACAAATCTCTGTGTTGCCCTGGTCAGTGGTTAGAGCATTAGCCCACATACTGGAGGGTCATGGGTTCAATTCCTGGTCAAGGATACATACCTGGGTTGCAGGTTGGATCCCCGGCCCCAGTCGGGGCACATGCGGGAGACAACCAACCAATGTGTGCGTGTGTGTGTCTCTCTCACATCAGTGTTTCTTCTATGTCTCTCTCCTCCTCCCCCTCCCTTCCACTCTCTCTAAAATAAATAAATAAATGGAAAAATTATCCTCTGGTGAAGATTAGCAACAACAAAAAAATCTCTTAGTGTTGCCCACCACCCCAGGAGAGATCAAATCCCCTTTTTCAGTCTGGCCTTCCCTTCAAGCCCGATGATAACAAGGAAAATGACCAGACAATTGGTACCATTAAAGGAATTACCATTTAATGCCAGATCTTTTTATTTTATTTTATTTTTTTTATTTTTTATCCTCACCCGAGGATATTTTTCCATTTTTTGTACAGATAGAGTGGGAGGGAGAGAGAGGAAGGGAGAGAGAGAGAGAAACATCGACGTGAAGGGACACATCGAGTGGCTGCCACCCGCACGACCAACCAGGGCCGGGGACAAACTGCAACCGAAGTACGCGCCCTTAGCGGGAACCGAACCCGGGTCTCTCCGGACCGCAGGCCGACGCTCTAACCGCTGAGCCAAACCGGCCAGGGCTAATGCCAGATCTTAATGAGACGTTACGTATGAAACATAAGAGCCAGCACTTCTCAGCCTCCAGTAGTATACCCGGCATTCTGCTCAGAGCTACCTTATCTCATTTAATCCTCATGCAAACCTGTGAGTCAGTTATTGTCACCCCCCTTTCATACAGGTGGTGCAGGAAATAAAAGTCCCCATAGGTTAGGTCACCGGCCAAGGTCATCTGGTGGGTGAGCACCTGAGCCAAATTCAAATCTTCACTGCCGCACCAGTTATTTCCCCTCTACTCTGAGTGAGTCCTGCTTTCCAGCTATACCCAAGTCGGGGCTCCTCTTTTATCCAAGTGTCCTCAGTTCTCTAACAAAAGAGCAGTTAAAACACAATCTGGCCCTGGCCGGGTGGCTCAGTTGATAGGAGCATCATCCCATACACCAAAAAGGTTGCAGGTCTGATTCCCAGTCAGGGCATGTTTGGGAGGCAACTGATCGATGTTTCTCTCTCACATCAATGTTTCTCTCCTCTCCCTCTCTAAAAATCAATAAAAACATATCCTTGGGTGAATATTATTAAAAAAACACACACAACTTGTGATTTGAGTTCCCCAGGAAAATCTTCTTTCACTTAAAGTGTGAGAACCACTGCCCTAGAAGGAGGGGAAAGCTATGGTCAGACATAGCACCCCCTACCAAGTGTCAGCCATGTTATGTGCACATGCTAGTGTACATGTTTCAGGAGAGAAGGAGCAGAGCTCTCATCATATTCTGAAGTTCCTGTGTGTCTCTGAAGAACAGTAATGGCTGACTGCAAGATTTACAAAGATTTCAAAAGATTTTAAAGACATAAAAAGAGAAATATGGCATAGGTAAGTATTTGCTATAGCTCTTTAGCAAAAAATTTGGTAACATCAATGAAAATGTGAACTACACGGATCTTGTGACCCAGTAATTCCATTTCTGGGAATTTACCTACAATTACATTCTCAAATGTGCAGAGACATATGTTCAGGGAATGTCATGGCAGCACTGTTTGTTCTCGAAAAACCCAAACCCATCCATAGAGACCTAGTAAAGTCCAGGAGACCACATTCAGATGATAGAATACTATATAGCCATTGAAAGGAATGGGGACGGTGAGAGAGATCTGTGCACATAATAATATCTCCAGCATAATAATATGTGAGGCAGAAAAGACAAGATGTGGAACTGTGCATCATCTCCATACTGTGCTGAAACAACATCAACAACTATCTTTTTTTTGGTACGTGCCCCTAGCGGGAACCGAACCCAGGACTCTCTGATCCGCAGGCCGACGCTCCAACCGCTGAGCCAAACCAGCCAGGGCTCAACAACTATCTTTATTAACATTTTGTAGGGGAGACTCAGGAGATGACTCAGCAGGGGCCATTCTGTGGATCAGAGGGGAGGCCCCATCACCAAGCCAGGTTTTCCGGCATCTAGTTCTTCTGAAATTTTCCCTAGGTTTAAAAATAAACCAATGGAAAAATGGTTAAAACGGCAATGTTATGTTATGTACATGTTACCACAACTAAAACAGACATAGTTAAAATATACACAATTAAAAATAAATCAAAAGGCAAAGGTCATGAACAGACATTTCTCCAAAGAGGATACACAAATTGTTAACAAGCCCATGAAAAGATGTTCAACATCACCAGCCATTAGAAAAATGCAAATCAGAACCACTATGGGATCCCACCACAGCCACTAGGATGGCTATAACAAAAAAATACAGATATTAACAAGCATTGGTGATGATGTGAAGAAACTGAAACCTTCATATATATACTGTTGGAGGATTGTAAAATGGTACAGTGACACAATTTAGAATACAGTCTGGTAGCTCCTCAAAAGGTTAACCATAGTTACCAAATGATCCAGCAATTCCACTCCACGTGGCCTAAGATTAAAGTAAATAAAATATATGCAAATCGTCATAACAGTTATTATTCATAATAAACAAAAAGTGAAAAAAACTCAAATGTTCCTTAATTAGAGAATGGATGAGAACTGAGGCCCATTCATACAATGGCCCATTTTCTATTCAGCAATAAGAAAAAACAAATACCAACACATGTAACAGGCATATATCTTAAACACATTACAGTAAACAAAAGTAGCTAGATGCAAAATACCGCGAACTGTATTATTCCATTTATAAGGTCTGTCGAGAAAAGGCAAATCTACCGACTCAGAAAGCACACGCAGATCCAGAAAGGGAATGGGAGTGGGAGCAGGAACGGACTGCAAAGGGACAAGAGGGATCTATCTCCTTGGAGTGATGCAAAGTTCTTACAGCTGGATCGCGGCGATGGCTGCACCACTTGGTAAGTTTACTAAAAATAATGAACTTGTACACTTAAAAGGCATGAACTGCATGGTATGTAAAAGAATCCTCAATACAAATTTTAAAAATAAAAAATAGAACTTCGAAAACACTGACGCCCCTAAGAGCCCGGTGTCTTTCCCCAGGCCTGGAGCGACCCACATCGGACCACTCTCCCGAGTGAATCCAGAAAGGGAAACTGGAACATGAGGCGCGGGTGGGGGACTGCTCTCCCGCCGCCCTCCCAGCTCAGCCCCGCAGTGCGCCTCGCTTCCCCACAACTCTTCTCCCAAGCCCGCCGCCACCCAGTCAGGCCAGCCAACCTCTGCTCACGATGTCCATCCGCAGATGCCGATGTCGCTTTCCGTCGGGCACTCAAACCTGAGACGACTGTTGCCCCCGGCAACCGCGCGAGGACGAAAGAGACTACATCTCCCGGCGCGCACCGCGCCCCCGAGGACGAATAGCGCCTCAGGTCACAATCGCAGGGTGTCTTGGGAGTGGCACAATCGCGCGCCAGGGACCAGTGATGCGTCAGATCACAATCGCGAGGTGTGACGGGAGTTGTAGTTCCGGGCCGGGGCGGTGCGCCGCGCAGACCGTTGGGAGCAGAGGGGCGGTTGCAAGAAACTCCGTGCACTTTCTATGGCCGTGGCTCGGCACCTTCTCTGGGCTGTTTGTGTGTTGCGGGTGGCTCTGGCCACCGTCTACTTCCAAGAGGAGTTTCTAGACGGAGGTGAAGAGGGGACGCCCATGGTAGCGGGGGCTTAAGCTCCCCCATTCCCTGCTGTCCAATGAATAGCCCGAGTCACGTTTGCCCCGGCCCATCACCGAGGGGTGGGCTGTGGCGAAGCCTCGAGGACCCCCCTCCCCACTCCATGACCCAGGTCTACTTTTCAGCCATAACCGGTATTGTTTCCCCCGACAGAGCGCTGGAGGAACCGATGGGTGCAATCCGCTAATGACTCCCAATTTGGGCATTTTAGACTCTCGTCGGGGAAATTTTATGGCCATAAAGAGAAAGACAAAGGTTAGTTTAGGGTTCCTGAGAAAATCAAGCTAAATGTTAAATCCCCCATAGCAACCTTTCAAGGTAGGTGTGGCTCACCCCTAACACTTCTTTCTTCCATTCACAGGTGAGGAAAGAAAGCAAGGCTCAAGTAGTGTCTGGCATTATTTTTTGTTCTCTCCTTTTTTTGACTTGCCAGAACACCCTGCTTTGTATGCACACTAGGGGGACCCCAGAGCCTTGCCCTGCAGAGGAAAAAGGATACTTCTCATTTTTATTTTCACTTTATGTATTTTTAAATCCTCACTGAGGATATTTTTTCTATTTATCTTCAGACAGAGTGGGAGGGGGAGAGAGAGAAACAGCCAGGTGAGAGAGACACATCCACTGGTTGCCTCCCACACGACCCTGACCAGAGCTGGGGATTAACCGCAACCGCAGTATGTGCCCTTGATAGAATCGAACCTGTGACTTTTTGGTCTGCAGGCCAGCACTCTAACCGGCCAGGGCACATTTTTATTTTCACTTTAAGAGGGAAAGAAAAGGAGATCAGCGTTAAATGCTGTCAAGTGCACAGATCTTAGGGTTACAACAGGATGAATGTTAACATCTGTACACACAGGTCAAGCTAGGGAACATTTTCAGCCCTCCCCCCCAGAGGCCTTCCTTGTACCCCCACCGTCCAAGTCAGTAGCCTCCTGGTTCCAAGGATAACCTCTGTTCTGGCTTCTGGCTTCTCATTCCTGTTGCTCAAAGGTGGACAAGATACAGGTCATCTACCACCTGTTTTGTTTTGTTTTTTTTTTTGTACAGCCAGCAAACAGACTGGTTTTTACACTTTTTTTTGTGTGTGTGGTAGGCGCCCCTAGCAAGAACCGAACCCGGGACTCTCTGGTCCGCAGGCCGACGCT